CTGGCACTGTTGGGAGTCCTGTAGCCTGGCTCTCAAATTATATGTGCTACCCTCAGGTATTCCTCATCACTCCTGAAATAGAGACCTCTTAAAATTAGATTTCCAGGGGAGGGTGGAGGACAAGGGGCAGTTCCCAGGCTGGGCAGGATCTGCTCTTGGCCGAGCCTGGCCCTGGAGAGTAGAGAGGCCTGGCCTGCTGCTGCCTGGCCCCCTGGGGATGATCTTGATGTCCACATTAGCCCTGCTGTCAGCCCGGAGGGCCGTGGGGGCATGCGTCATGCCTTGTTCTCTGGAAGAGGGATACTTCCTGCCTTGTGCCCATAAGGAGGCCTGCATGTGAAATGTTGAATTCACACAACAGAAGGATTTCATAAATAGCTCCTTCAGAAAGGGTCCCGTTAATTGTTAGTACTAATAGTTTCTTCTTGCTCTTTTCTACTAGGTAGCTAGTACATGCTCCTGTGAAGAGATTTAACATTTCATAAACACATAACGTAAGGAGAGGGGTCTTTCCCCAACCCCTCCCCAACACCCCCAGCGCCTGAGAACAGTCCACACAGGTACATTCCTCCAGAAAGATCTTTGAGATCTTTCCACTTGAGCACATACAATCTAACCCTGTTCTCCTTAATAACTACAGGGCGTTTCACACAGTGCTCTCCCAGCATCACTTCTGGTGCGTCTGCCGGAGAATACTGTAGGATGATCCCGGCCCATGGCCTCCTGAATTTCTCCCAGGATTTGGGCAGGTTTCCCTCTGCTCTCTGGTCCTCGGGCCATGTCTCTGTGCAGGCCTCTTAGAGGCACCTGCCTCAGCTGGCCGGGGTGGGTGGAGGCTGCCTCAGTTTCCCAGCAGACAGGCCTCACTGGACCTGTGGGAGTTGGTGCCCAGGTTGTGCTCAGAGGCTGCTTGTGTAGAACTATCTTTTCCACGTTATGCTGTGCCCTCTTGGTTCTCTGCCCTGAAGTGGTGGTTGAGTACAAGACTTAGGTGTGCTACTGAGAGAAACCAGCCTGGGGTGTGACTGTACCCTTCCAGGAGACGCTCCCTGTGGGCCACTCGTGGTTTAGCTTCCTGTGCCCTTGATGGTAGGATAGTGTTTACAGTACCTGAGAGGGGCATCAAGAGAAATGTATGATAACAGTTACTTGAAAAAGCCCAAATTCAGGGCAGAATGAACAATGAACATATACTGAGAATATATTCTTTAAATTATTTAAAAGACTTTTTTTTACATTCATTTTTGAGCGACAGAGAGAGAGTGCGAATGGGGGAGGGGCAGAGAGAGAGAGGGAGACACAGAATCCGAAGCAGGCTCCAGGCTCTGAACTGTCAGCACAGAGCCCAACGTGGGGCTTGAACCCATGAACCACGAGATCCTGACCTTAGCCAAAGTCGGATGCTTAACTGACTGAGCTATGCAGGTGCCCCTCTTAAAATTATTTTTTAAGGGAATTCCCAGGACTCACTTCTAGAGGTATTATTTGCTGCTGCTTTCTGCTATTTGTGAGGGTTACATTAGTCTAAGATGTTCCTGAATGTGTACTTCATGGCACTAGGGGAACTTAGCAGCTGATCAAGAACCTTCTGAAAGCAGTTGGTTGATATATGCGTTTGCTGTTTATTAGAACATATTCACCTTGTTGTTAACATCCATTGTATTTGTTAGCACAGGACCAGATGTGTTTTAATGTAATTTCAAATATTTCAATGTAATTTCATGGTGGGGGCGTGTTAGCCCATTCTGTCGGCTGCAGGGTGACTTGTGAGACTCACTGCCCTGGTTCATTGAGTGAGTTTTCTCTCCTCTTTCCCCTTTTCTTCCGAAACCAGGTTGTCCTGGCCCGAGAACTGGCAACCTCAAGGGAATACGCTAGTAAGTACTAAGTCCAGTGGGCCGCGCATCTGGGATGCGGGGCGGGGTGCCTGCAGGCACATGGCCACCTGGCTGCCCGGTGCCTGGAGGTTCTGTGCTCATTTCAGGGTCAGGCACTTGTGGTCTTAGAGACCACGGAGCCAGTGGGTATGTTCTGTGAAAAACTTTAATTTGTTCCAGTTACCTTTATGAGTTTTGTTTCTAGTGTGCTGTTGTGTTTTGTTTTCACCGCTATCAATTGTAATAACTTGCTTCTCTCTTACTTTAAGTTAAAATTCTAGAGAAACGTCACATTATCAAAGAGAACAAGGTCCCGTATGTAACCAGAGAGAGAGACGTGATGTCACGCCTGGATCACCCGTTCTTTGTTAAACTTTACTTCACATTTCAGGATGATGAAAAGCTGTGTATCCTTTGAACAGTCGCACCTGAAATCGCACCAGTGACCCCGTGCTATTTTGGAGTCATGACCCCAGTGTGTATTTTCACAAGTCATCCCTCCTTGGACAGGACAAGCAAGGGTGGCATATTCTAAGTACAAAGGAATTCACATCACTTTCCTGTGGGAGCCCCTGGGATTGCTGACGTTCACTGAAGTGGAATGTACTTCACGGGAGATCAGCACAAACTTTTTTGAGGTTTTTTTGTTGATAAGCTTTGTATCTAAAGGATTGTTACTGTTTTAACCCTGTGGTTGCTAGATATTTATTCAAAGGCATTCCCTTATTCCTTGGAATTCCGTCAAGTCTCTTCTCAAGGCAGGGAAGTGAGAGAGAGGAAGAAGGATCTCGGACCTCCAGGGCCCCTCACTGCTCTCTTTGGCCCAGGGCTGTGGGGTTTGTTTGGAATGCACGTCTTTACCAGGCTTAACCCCCAAGTGCGAAGTCCAGGGAGTAACCGCAGGGACCCAAACTCTTTCCCCTCCCCAGGCCCTCTCCTCTCCCCCTCCCCATGGACCCTCCCCAGTCTGCTGTGGCCTGTGGATGGCTGTGATCCCCCAGTGCCTCTGGCTCTCAGGCAGGGCTGTCACACCCTGCTGATTGTTTCCTCTCAGGGCCTTTCCTGCTCCCTGACTTCTCTAATCCCTGGGGCAATGTTTTTCTTTCCCCCTTCTTTTACCTCTGCTTAGGGAGCAGGGAGGTAGGGCACCATGTTGGGGGGGGGGCACGACCGTGTTGTCTAGCTTGTCCCAGGGTCTGCCCATCATGGGGCCTGGCTGGCCAGTTTCTCCTCACTCCACGGACTTTTCCTGTAGTTTTTCCCAACCAGGACTTCCTCGGCCCCTATGTGTCCCAGTGACTCTTGTCCTCAGTCCCAGCAGATGCTCTTGGTTTCTGTTCCACTGAGAGAAGGAGGCTGTCAAATGTAGTTGCTTCAGGACTTGTTCGGGCTTAAACCTCAGTCTTGACATTAGCTCTTTCCCTCCTGCCCTCCGGTCTCCTCAGCTGCCTGGCGCTAAAGCTGGTCCGTGTGAGGGCTTGGCTGTTCCGTTCCCCCCCACACACACACCCTGCCCCGGGCTTTCCCCTTTCTTCTTTCTACACAGACTCTTCTGGGTTGAAGCTTTGCTCTATCCCTGTCTCCCTTCGACACCATTTTCTGGCTCCTTCAACTGTCAGCTGAACTTGTCCTTTTGTTGAGAAGTTCTTGTTGAGTGCCAGGTGATGGGGGTATGCCGGTCAAGAAGGGAAGCGCTCCCGGAGCTTGCATTCTGTGCAGGAGTTAGCACACGCTGATGATGGGCGCCCATGTGGTATGTGTTGAGGGAACAAAGGTAGTAAGGGCCCGGTGAGAGGGCGCCGGAAGGTGCTGCTTTTGTAGCCTGCTGGTCTGAGGGGACCCATGGACTTTGGCCCGAGTCCTGGGCGTAGCAAGGGCAGGAGCATGTCTGTGCAGGTGGGGTGAAAAGGCTGGGCAGGGGCAGCTCCTCCTCCCTCAGAGGCCTGGCGAGAATAGCAGATTTTCTTCCAAGTGTGCGGGGAGCCTGGAGAGGCTAGAGCAGAGCAGCTGTTTGCCGTGACCGTGGCCGGCGCTGCACTGTGAAGGTTTTTGCAGGTGAGCCGGGCGAGGGGCAGTGTGGTCAGGGTGGCTTCCGGGCGTGAGGCCTCAGAGTCGGGGTGCGCAGGGTTGCTGTAGGTGAGCTGGAAGAGTCTGAGGGAGAGGCTAGGCTGGGAGTGTGTGTGGTGTTGGCATTCGACGCATCTGTAGGTGCCGGCTGCTGCTGGGCGGCTGCCAGCAGAGCTCCGTGAAGAGTCAGGGCAGCTCACAAACTGAGGGTCGGGGGGGGGGGGGGTAGGAGGGGTGTCGGCAGGCTGGTCGGCCCCCCACAGCGTGCTCAGCAGGGGAGAGTTCCGAGGCCTGAGCCCAAGTCACCCCCACACAGAGAGTGGCACATGGGGTGTTGCCAGTGAGCAGAGAGGCAGACCCCCCAGGGCCCCAGGGTTTCTGGGGTAGGGGTGCTTGGCAGCCAGACCAGATGCTGCCGACTGGTCCAGTACCTGGGGCTCGGGCCCGACCTGTGGTTTGGCTCCTGTGCAGGTTGTTCTGGGGGTGAGGAGGCGGTTTCAAGAGAGAGAGGTGAGGCTGTCCAGGCAGGACACACATGCACACTGGGCTCTTCCCAGTGGTTCCGTCTTCAGGGGAGCAGTGACCTGGTCTAGTACCAACGGGCTGCTGCGGTGGGGAGAGGGCTTTCTGTTGGTTCGTTTAGGGGCGTCACCCCTGTCCCCAGCACTCTGAAAGTGGCATTTCTTTATGAAACACGTTGCTTTATATGTGGAAAGGAGCTTGCATTTGAGAAACCGTTACATGAGTTGACTCTTAGCACACCGTGGAAAGCAGTGGGTGCCCAGTAAGTGTGTGCCTGTCGTGATGCAGGTTTGGAGGCTCTGTTATGACAGAGGGCCCTTTCCCCTGGCTGCAAAGAGGCATTTGTGCCACGGGCTCTGCCGTCTCTGGTGGCTTCCCTTCACTGAGCCCATGGGTGTTTTGTGGAGATGGTGGGGTCCAGAAGTGGCAGTCGGAATGAGGGATGGGTGTCTTTGTGTTCTTGGTGAGAAACCCATGCTGGGGCCTGTTTGTGGAGCTGGGGCCAGGGATTCCTGTCACACCCAGCAGCTGTGTGTATGATCATGCCATGGTCCGACTTGAAGAGGGACAGCTGTCTTAGGACACAGGTACCTTCAGTTTTCATTAATGAAAAATATTCTAGGACGCCTGGGTGGTTTGGTTGGTAAAGCATCTGACTCTTGATTTCGGATCAGGTTGCAATCTTGCAGTCATGAGATTGAGCCCTGAATCAGGCTCCACGCTGAATGTGGAGCCTGCTTGGGATTCTGTCTCTCTCTCTCTGCCCCTCCCCCGTCCCCAAGTAAATAAATGAAACTTAAGAAATTCCTATTGGGCTGTAAGGTTAGTTTAAAAGAATGACTTTTGCACTCTTCCTTAACTACGTAATATTTAGACTTTGGTCTTAGTTATGCCAAAAATGGAGAACTACTTAAATACATTCGCAAAATTGGCTCATTCGATGAGACGTGCACCCGGTTTTACACGGCCGAGATGGTGTCGGCTCTGGAGTACTTGCATGGCAAGGGCATCATTCACAGGTACCATGCCAGGGGCCTGTGGGCTTTGCTCCCCAGGCCCCAGGGTCAGCTCTGCTTTATTTTCTGGAGTGGTGGGAGGCCTCCTTGTGAGATCTAAGAAGTTGATGAGACTTCCCAGGTGATGTTGGTCAGATGTCTTTGCTGGGTGGGTGGGTGGCCTTCCCAGCCATCCTGACTGGGTGTTTTATTTCCTGCTTAATAGCTTTTGTGTGTACTTATTTCTGATCTTATTTTCCATGACTTTCTGACATTGTCAAATTAAAAGCGTTCATACGAGCTCTTTTTGTTGTGGTTACTGATCGTTTTTCTATTGTGGTAAAAGACATATAACAGAATTTATCATTTTAACTCTTTTTTCTGGTTTCATTGAGAAATAACGAACAACATTCGTCACTGTGTAAATCAAAGGTGTACAACAGGATGGTTGACTAAAATATATTGTGAAATGATGACCACAGTAGGTTTCAAAGATCTTCCTTTTATGGGCTAAAAATGATGGGTTACACTTTAATAAAAAGTTTATTGAAAATGATAGATGTACTTTTGAAGTGATGTAATTTGAAGGTACTCATTAAGTGCAGTTAATATTTGTTCATTGTGAACTTTTTAAAAAGACTCGCATTCTTGGTTGTCGGTCCATAAAGGTTATAAGCGTTAATCAGTCCATTTTGTTTTCAGTGAAAAATTGTAAAGTGTGTAGTAGCATAACTGTTTAAATATTTCACCTCAAATGTAAAAAATCTGCTTTCACAGGGACCTGAAACCAGAAAACATTTTGTTAAATGAAGACATGCACATCCAGATCACAGATTTTGGAACAGCGAAAGTCTTATCCCCGGAGAGTAAACAAGGTGTGTGAGTGCTCTGTTTCCAGCAGGTCCTGGCTCAGTGCTTGAGATCAAAAACAACTTCTTAGAAATGTGTTGTGTTGTACTGTCTTCATTGTTAGTGACATGTTTGTAACACCTGTGCTGTTGTAAGATAGTTGCTGAAGCTTTCACATGGGAAGGCCCTGCCTCACGTAGTGGCTCTCGCTGGAGGTCTGGGCGGTTTTGTCTGGTCTGGACTGTGGGGGGAGACGACTAGGTTTCTAGGCCTGTGGTTGGTCTGCCTGGCCTTGAGTAGGGGGTGCTGGGTTGCCAGCCACTCTGCATGTTGTCGTCCCAGGTCTTTGTGAGCACCTGCAAGTGTCCACTGGGGCTCACCGCTCCGAGTCCTGGAAGATGCCATGGTGCTTTGTTCCTTCCTGGTCTTCTGAGCAGGGGTGTGGAGTTGGTGGGATCAGCTCCCGGCTCTTCCCGTGGCACTGTGGCTTGTAACTGTGAGAGCACGGTCTCCGTCCCAGTGCCCACCATCTGCCTGTCTTCCCATCTCCTCTGTGTAGCTGCCAGTGGTGGCCCAGGCAAGCCATCCCAGTCACTGTTTGTTTAGGGTGATTCCCGGTGCCAGGTTATGTATTGTGACCACTCCATCACCTGAAGACGAGTTGCTGACAGTACAGTGGGCCTTGAGTGTCTTAGCTAGCCAGTGGGGACCTTGAAATTAAGCAGGGACCTTGAAAATGAACCTTGAGTCAGGACAAGTGTAACTGACAGAGCCACCCTGGCCCGAGAGGCTAGGGCAGTGTGCTCAGCTCTGCCAGGCCCTGTGGGGCCCCGTGAGAGGGCCGTGATGGACGGGCTGGGGAGCGGCCGGAGCAGGTGCGACTGCTGGGGTCGTTGGCGGAAGGGAGATTCAGATGGAAACCTCCGCTTTGTTGCAGCGGCCCTCCTGTGGAGGAGGGGAGCCGCGAGCTCCATGCCACAGCGCGAGCAGCTCGGCTTCCGAGGAGCCCTGCGGCTCAGCCAGGCAGGTCTGCTCCGCCTCAGATCGGACTGAGGCCTGCTTGGCGACCACACGTAGGGCAGCTGCTGGGCTGATGTCTGGGGTCCCCTCCTCCTGGCTGCGCCTGCCTGGGCCTCGGGAGGTTCTGTTCCACAGTGTGCCTTCTGTTTCCTTTCTTGGTGTTTTTGCAGCCCCATGTTTTCAAACTCAGTGTTGGGAAGATGTTTGCGCAGACTCTCATTGAATCGCCAAGACTGCATCTCAGATTTGGGACCTTCTTCGAGAATCTTAAAGCACCACCCTTTTGGGGCTGAAACAGAACTCACAATCAAGGAAGATACTCTTGTCTCTTGACAAATTTTAGTCCTGGTGCCACTCACCTTCTTTTTGCAGCTCCCTGTCCCTCCTTCCCACCTTGGAGAGGTTCTCTGGGCACTTGTGAGATGCCCCAAAACCTTGATCCACCTGACTCATCGCTGTTGCACAGGAACATTGTGTCGGCCGGCGGTCGTGTTTTGTGGACGTGGTATAACCCATGACCGTAGGCGTGGCCCATGACACACACGAGCCAAGCAGGAACTGCCATGGCCCCAAACGTCCTTGTCCCGTCGTCATGTGTCACTTCCCATGAGACAAGTCACCGTCCGCCATGGGGCTCCCCCTGTCAGCCTTGGGAGCCAGCCACCTCGGGGTCTGTGCTATCTGTTTTTCCTTTGTCCATTTGCCTCACAACCTGATATTTGGCACAAGCTAGTCCTGGTACCTTATAGCCATTTTAAAAAATGGGATGAATTTAAATGCATTGGAGAAATAAGCCTGCATTTCTTCTTTCTGGGAGTAGAAGTGTAGACGTCCTTACGTTTTAAATCAGGGACAGTTGCTTGTATGTATAGATGAGTTGGCTTTTTCCCACCCTTCTAGAGGAAGAGGGAAAACGTGTAACTATGTGAATGATTGGTTTTAGTGACTTGCTCTCGTTTTCTGTTTCAAGTAGTTCAGGCTCTTAGAATTTATTCTTGCATTAGCTTTTTTTTTAAACCTTTGTGCAGAGATGATTTCCATAAAACATCTTAGGCTTCCAGAGAGCAAGCGTTGGTGGAGACACGGCCCAGGTTCCTTAACTGTCCTGTGAGCATGTTCTACCCTCCTAGAAGAGGCAGGTTGTCTCTTCACAGACCTCTGTCCCAGTGGGTTGTCCCTCTGTCTCTCCCTTATTGCTTCCTGTGGCATCCTAGTGGCCTTGTGACTGTAAGGAGCAGGATAGGAAACAGCAGGGCAGCTGTTGAGGGTATGTGGGATTGATGAGGACTTTATGGCACAGAGGACTTGTGACTTCTAACCAAGCTCCCACAGACATGTCTGGGCAGAGGCAACTTAATCATGCAGAGCAAGCCCCTTGTCTGTGGCTGTGTCACTGGCTTTTGTTGTCTTTGGTAGAGACTTGGGGAGCTTGGGATGCCATAGAGGTTTGGACTTGGGGTTTGTGTCTAGAAACTCATGTCGTGAGCTGTGTAGGCCTTTCTGGTATGCGGCCAGGTATGGAGGTTCCACTCGCCAAACAGGAGGGGAGGTCTGGCAGGTGTGCAGTGGGAGATGACCAGAGACGGGTTGGAGGGGGAGGCTACAGAGCCGAAGTCACTTCTGTCACTCACTCCAGCTGTACTTTCTGTGGAGGGCCATCATCCAGACCCTCAGAGCGGCATCAGATCCCCCCCCACCCGGTGTGCTGTGGACTCTAGAACCTGCCCCAGCATTTCTGCCTCGCCCCCACTGTAGTGTGGGCAGGACAGCCCCACCCACCACAAAAGAAGAGTTCACATGATAGAGGGGAAAGTCAAGTCCCTATACTTATACCAGCATATATAACTCTTAACATCAGAAATGGTTTACTCTCGTCTTCTCAACATTGGTATTTGTTTAGTCATAGCTATGATACATGGAGTTTTTGATTTGTTTTGTTTTACTTAAATTTTTTAAATGTTTATTTTTGAGAGAGCGAGTGCAGCACAAGCGAGCCACAAGCAGGGGAGGGGCAGAGAGAGAAGGAGACACAGAATCTGAAGCAGGCTCCGGGCTCTGAGCTGTCAGGATAGAGCCCAGTGTGGGGCTTGAGCCCACGAAGTGTGAGATCGTGACCTAAGACGAAGTCGGACGCTTCACCGACTGAGCCACCCAAGCACGCCCCAAAACATGATTTACCCCTACCTCACACCATAATACACAAAAGTTAGCTCTGAAGTGAACTTGAATGTAGACTCTAGAAGCTGAGACTCTGAGAGGAGGCATAGCGTAAATCTCCATGACCATGAGTTAGGCAGGGAGCGCTTTCTTAGATATGGTATCCGGAGCACGGGCAGCACAAGGAACATAGACTGAATCCAGTTGGGAAACTTGTGCCATGATGCCATTCAGAAAGCGAAGCAGGAAAAAACATTTTCAAAACATGTATGTGGTAAGGGACTTAGCCCAGAGTGCCTGAAGAACTCATAAGACAAGAAGTAAAATGAAATTGGGGCCCCTGGGTGGCTCAGTTGTTTGAGCGTCCGACTCTTGGGTTTCAGCTCAGGTTGTAGTCTCATGGTTTCAGGAGTTTGACCCCTGTGTTGGGCCCCGCGCTGACAGAGTGGAGCCTGCTTGGGATTCTCTCTCGGCCCCTCCCCTGCTCCCCGCTGTCCTCTCAAAATAAGTAAATAAACTTTAAAAGAGAAAAAGAAAATACATTAAAAATGTAGAAGCAGGCAAAGGGTCTGAATAGACATTTCTCCAAAGAAGACAAAGCAAATGGCCAATAAACACATGAAAAGGTGCTAAGTGTCATTAGGGAAATGCAAATGAAAACCACACTGAATACCACTTCACATCTTCTAGGATGGCTGTGATCAAAAGGAGAGACAATGAGGCACCTGGGTGGCTCAGGTCATGATCTCTGGGTTCAGTTTGGTCAGTTTGGTCCGGTTTGGTTTGTGAGTTCGAGTGAGCCCATCAGGCTCCTTTCTGTCAGCGTAGAGCCCGCTTTGGATCCCTTCCCCCCTCCACCCCCGTCGCTCATGCGCACACATGCTGGCGCGCGCTCTCAAGGGTAAGCATTAAAAAAAAAGAAATAGGACAGACGGTGATATCAGGCATTAGCAAGGGTGTGGAGGAATGGAAACCCTGTGCTGTGCAGGTGGGAATGTCAAATGGTACGGTCACTTTGAAAAAAGGCTGGCAGTTCCTCAGAACGTTAAGCGTCGTCCCTTGTAAGTGAGCAGTTCTTCTCGCAGATGTATCTGAGCGCTGTGGAGACGTGTCCACAGAAGCACTGTACAGGAGTGCTCATAGCAGCTTTATGTACGATAGCCAGACAGTGGAGACAACTCAGGTGCCCGGCGTGCACATGGGTAAAGAGGATTCGTCTTAAAGAGGAGTGGGGTTCTGGTCCACACTAGCATCGATGGAGTAGGACGCGTTGTGCTGAGTGAACGCCGGCTGGGGTCGGGGTGGGGTCGGCGTGGGGGGTGTCTTTCCATTTAGGTCTTGTAATTTCTTTCCAAAGTCTGTCTTAGTTTTTGGTGTACAGGCTTTCCTCTTTTTTTTTTTAGTAAATTTATTCCTAAGTATTTTATTTTGGAGTCTATCGTAAGTGGAATTGTTTTCTGAATTTTACCTTCACATTGTTTGTTGCAAGCGTGTAGAAATACATTTGCTTTTGTGCTCTCACCTTGCGTCCTGCAGCCTGGCTGGATCTGTTAGTTGTAACTGTTTTGTAGTGAATTCTCAGAACTTTCTACATAGAAGATCAGGCCGTCTGTGATTCGAGATACTTTTTCCTTTTTCCTTTCCACTCCGGATGCCTTTTATCTCTTGTTGCCTGACGGGCCTGGCAGAACTTCCAGGACGATGTCGAATGGAATTGACCATCCTTGTCTTGTTCCTGATCTTCCGGGAGAAGCTTCAGTCTTTGACCATCGAGGCTGATGATAGACGCCTTGACTATCAGGAGGTTCCTTTCTCTTCTTACTTTGTGATGTATTTTTGTCATGAAGGAGTGTTGAATTTTTATTAGATGTTTTTTCTGAATCTACTGAGATATCATGTGGATTTTGTTCTTTATTCTAATGATATGTAATATATTGGGTTTTTTGGGTTTTTTTGGTTTTTTTTTTTTTAGCGTTTTTATTTATTTTTGAGAGAGAGACAGAGACAGAGTGTGAGTGGGAGAAGACAGAGAGAGGGAGACACAGAATCTGAAACAGGCTCCAGGCTCTGAGCTGTCAGCACAGAGCCCGATGCGGGGCTCGAACTTGTGAACTGCGAGATCATGACCTGAGCCGAGGTCAGACGCTCAACTGACTGGGCCCCCCATGCGCCCCTGAGTGAATTTTGTATGTTGATCCACCCTTGCATTCCTGGGATAAATGGCACTCGGTCGTGGTGCGTACTCCTGTTGATGTGTTGCTATATTCAGTTTGCTCATCTTTTGTCCAAGAGGGAAGCCTCTCTTGGGGAGTGTGTGTGCTTGCTTCACTTGGGGGCTTATGAGTAAGACACTGTAGTTCTTTACTCTCAGCTTTGCAGAGAGGGTGGGTGTCCTCTGACCTCAGGAACACTCCCTGGGGCTTGTCCTTCCTCACAGGCACTTCTGAGTCTGAGGTGGTGGCCAGAGTGTTTGACGGCCTGGGATGCTGGTCACTTTGCTTGAATCACTTTCAGGGTAGAGACAGCAGCACAGCCCAAGACCCTCTTCTTTACCCTGACCCTGTGGCCCACTTTTAGTGGGTTAGTGGTGTGGAATAGGCAGCTTTCTGACTAACGGTGGCTTTCTGGGCCTGGTTTTCCAATAGGTGGAGCAGTTTGGCCTTCGGTTAATCTCTGAGCCACTGGGGGAGGTAACCAGATTCTCTCTGCGCTTCTCATGCTCTCTTGGGGGTTCTTACCCTCGTGTCACACACGGAAGTCGGCTCTCGTGAAGCTGGGGAGGAGAAAGTGGCTGATTTTCACCAACCTTTCAGTGAAATTGAATGTTTCCTTTAATTACGAAGGTGGGCAACAGGTTGTCACAGAGTCTTGCTCTGTTGTGTGTGTTCCTCGATGCTTCCGAGTTCCTGCGTTGTTAGACCTGATGGGCCTCATGACCTACCGCTCTGATACAGAGAGCCTGGCATCATTGTGGCACGCTTTCACTACCCCAGTATTTTGACACTTTGGTCATTTATAGTCCTATTTTATTGTATGCCTTTCAAACGTTTTTCTGAGGGCAGTCCTGTCCAGAGGCCTCCTTCATCTCAGGACTAGAGGAGAGCTCCTTTCCAAGGGGGTGATTTCACACCTCTCCAGGGACTTGGAGTCCCGCCTTCAAGAAGATGGGCACAGGCTCCTGGTAATAGGGAGCAGCAGGTGTCACGGGAGACTAGCAGATCCAGGCCCAGAGACTGTAAAACAGCAACACAGTCCTAATTACATCATGAGTCACTGAAGCCTAGCCATGGGCGGGGGTGGGGATGGTATAGACCCTTTTAGACTTTATTTTGGGCATCATGTAGCTATTTAGAGGCACAAACGTCTCTAAACGTTCGGGGCTGGAACTCACAAACTGTTAAGGTCATGACCTAAGCCAAAATCAAGAGCGGGATGGACGCTTAAACTACTGAGCCACGCAGGTGCCCCACTATGTACTGTTTTGATAGCTGGATTTAATTTACTTAATTATGCATCACGGACATCTTTCCATACAAAAATACATTTCCAGAACTTTTCAATAGCAGCATTAACAAAAGACAAATGACAGAAGCCGCACATGACTCCTATGCAGGATGGGAGCACACGAGAGGCAGTGAAGTACCAGGCAGGGTTCCCAGGGCCATTGCGTTGCGTGTGGTCCTGCTGTCACTGCCGGATCTGTCCTGAGGCTCGGGTGCCAGGAGTGGAACTGCTGGGTCAGAGCGCAAGCCTGTGCTCTCTGGATTTTGATGCTTATTGGAAAACTGCTCCCCTGAAAATTACACCATTCCGTATCGCCACCGGTAGCACGGTGAGTGTGTGTCTCCTCAAATCCTTGCCAACACTGTGTATTTCCTTTTGTGCCTTTGCTGATCTGATAGGCTTTTGTGTGTTCGTTTGCATTTCTTTGATTCACTGCATCATTGAATGGATTCATTTGGTTTTGGTTCTCAGTTTCTTTTTTTTCCTCATATGAATCACCTCATTGTTCTTGGCAGTATCTCTTGGGGTCCTGGCAGGATGCAAATGTGGCTGCGGAGTCTCTACAGGAAAACAACTTAATGAGGGGACCAGTTACAGAGAGCAGGGCCGAGGAAGCAACAGGGCTGGGTCTCCTCGATGGGACCGTGAGCCCCTCTGCTCCCCGGGTGGAGGTGGGGCAGGTGGGGGGGTGTCCAGGGCCCAGGGAAACCACTTTGGTGGATAAGGGTGAGGCAGGAGGACCAGCTTCAGGTAGGCTCTCACACTCTCCTCGCCTCCCTCTGGGGCTCCTGCTGGCTCCAGGGCTTCAGTACTCGGGAGGACGGGGGCCATATATGAGGATAAACGGGGAAGAGCCAGCACGTTGGCTTTGTCTCTCTTCCTCCTGGGCGTCTGCCCTTGGAGGCCTTTGGACCAACAGTCAGGAAGTCCCCCATGGCAAGCGCCTCCAGCTCTGAGGCAGCCCCAGGGATGGTGAGCAGGATGTGATGGCCACCATGACCAATGGGCCTCTCAGTCCAGATGACCATATGCTGCATTGGTGTGGCCAGGGGCCCTGGTTTCTTTTTGCATTTTAATTCGGGTATTGTGTTGCTTATAGCCATATACCATCAAGAATTTTGTAGACATGCCAAACATAGGTCTGGTGTGTTTTGTCCTAGGTAGCTGTAACCCCCAATCGCTTCTGTGTCAGGACCAGGCTGAGGTGCCCAGTACAGAGCCTTGTGGTCAGTGCAGAAGAAGAAGGTTGCTTCCCCTGGACCTAACATAGAGCAGAGTAGGCGATTTTGAGAAAGAAAGACGAAGGCACTTTCAGCTGATCTTCCTTCCCCAGCTCCCCCTCCTCCAGAATTTTCCAGAACCTAGCTGGCTGCTCCTGCTCTATCTTGGTCTGTGTTTTTGGAGGATAGGAGGGTGCGGTCCCAGTGAGGCTGTACAGAGGGCACTCAAGATCTGGGCTCTTTGGGGGCTGGAGGATTCCTGCTTTTTGGTGCTCTGTGGTTTTTAGCTGCACCCCTGGCATCTGGCCATTAGGTGACAGTAGCCCCCCCTTCCCTCTCCTCTGTGGTGTCTGCCAGAAATGTCTCCAGACATTGCCAGACATCCCTTGGGGGCCCACATGTCCCCATGTGACAACCCCGAATAGAGCACTTGGGGCCCTCATCAGTAAACCCACCCAGCAGGACCCTGCACGGGGTGGTCACTGCTCTGTGTGTCACCTGGTTTCAGAAGGGGCCTGGCCAACTAGAGACCATTTGGTGGTAGGTGTGTTGGTGTGAGGTTTTACCTCTCAGGTTGGTTCAGGGAGATGTGTCCTTAGGGACAAATACTTTCTGGTGTGGATCACTGAAGATACTGAGAAAAAGAACTGCTTGATCTGCAGAGGGGTCAGGCTTGGTCACACAGCTTATTTGTCCAGAACAAAATGATGTTCGACTGTGGTGTTGTGTCTCTTGTCTGCCATGGGGTGCCAGGCTAGGAGACGGGGCCGTGCTGGAACGTGCTGCAGGGAAAGGTGGTCTCCTCCCTGGGCCTGTCCGAGCAGCACCACGGCCTTGCCAGCAGCCGTCCAGTGCTGGGTACAGAGTGCCATTGATGTGGGGCCAGTGTGGGAGGTAGTGGCAAAGCAGGTGACGGCAGGTGAGGTGGGGGCATCTCCAGGGAACCGTTGGAAGGGTTGCAGCATTGCATGCGCTCCCGAGGGAAGTGTTTTGCTCTCAGACGGTGGGCACCTCTCGTGCGGGAATCCCGGTCCTGTGTCTGTTGGTCACGGGGAAAGGCCAAGTGGCCGCACGGTCTCCGATGTCAGAGGACACCCCGTGGGGGTGCCTCCGGAGCAACGTGGTGGCGTGGGCAGACTTGCGCCCTCGGCGCTGCTTGGTCAGGGCCACTCAGCTGCTGATGAGCCCCCGAGGTCCTTGGGAGCCACTGGGGTGACACAGGTATCGGGACATCCTGTTTGGTGGTGAGCGGGTCTAGAGGCTCCTGCTGCCACTGAGCCTCTGAGTCTGTGGGCGAACCTGGTGATCCTTGTGTTGCACAGTTCTAGAGGCGGTACTGGCAGCAGTGGGGTATCGAGAAGCTTCCCTGGCCGGGACTCCCAGGTCTTATTCCACCTGCAACCCCTAGCTTCCCTGAGCTGTTGGTTAAGGAGGCCTGTGGCCTTCAGGGGACCGGTCCTTTCCCACGTGTACGTGTGTCCCATCTGTGCCTGCCGTGTGCCTGGGTCTGTTTGAGGCACCATTCGTGGACCAAACGGACAAGCCCTCTCTCTTCGAGACGCTGCCAGCTGACACCGCCGGGTCAGTGAGAGGTGCCCAGAGAACGTGCGCCATGGTGGTCTGGAGGGGCTGCCCTGGTGGCCAGGGCTGCTGTCACAGAGCAAGTGACCTTTGAGCCGGCCTTGGACGGAGAGTCCAAGAAGGAAGGGGGTTTGAGGGGAGGGCCCTGGACAAGTAGGCTCTTGGGACTGTTTAGTCTGATTCCACGTGACCAGGGGGCCAGTACTGGGACAGATCCCCACTTAGGCCCACGTGAACCACGACATCCTGATGGATGAACGTCCAGGGTGCAGCGTCGATGACAAATGCTTTGTGTCTCAGCGTGACCTTTCTCCCTTTTCCCTCCTCTCATCAGCCAGGGCCAACTCGTTTGTAGGAACAGCCCAGTATGTGTCTCCAGAGCTGCTCACAGAGAAATCGGCCTGTAAAAGGTAACCCGCTTTCATCTGATCCAGAATATTCTCTTTTCTCTACAGTGGCTATTAACGTATGTTTTTTCATATGAAGTTAATTAGTTAAGAGAGTGCCTTTTATGGCCTTTGATAACCAACCTCTGTGCTGCTTTATTGTTACACAATACACTTCCCGGGACCATTGTTGCTTTATGCTTTGATATTTGATCTTGTTCCTTCAGAAGCAACTATTCAGTGGGGGAAAGTGGGGCCGGGAGGTCCACATTCCTAGCTGTGTCCCTGAGCCTTGGGGTCCTTAGTGCTGCCAGTGGCCTGACTCTGCGGACCGTGGGAAGAGGCCCAGAAGGCATCGTGTGGGGGGAGGCGGTTTCCTGGCCGGGGCACAGCCAGCGTGAGCCATCCCTCCCCAGTGCTCGGAACTGGGTCGGGCCCAGGCAGGGGCTTGAGTTTTGAGTATCAGAAGTGCACGAGTGAGGCTCTGCTCACAAGGAGCAGAGGTGCAGTGGGAGAGAGGGGGTGGGGTGCCGTTGGTCAGGAGCAGGGAGAAGCTGGGGGGCTCTCTTGGGTGGGCCTGAGGCGGCAGTGGCGTCTGGGGTCTCAGTTTGGAGAGCACTTCCAGATGATAGGTTGTGTGGCTGCAGCTTCTCCCTGGATCCTCACTGCGGCCACGCCATCAGTGTCCCGTAATGGCCATGAGGGGCCCCTTTGCTAGAAAGACGGCACTGTCAGAGGCGGCAGAGGGGTGAGTGGTTCTGGGGGTGGCCCTGTGTTTCTGAGCGTGACCGCTTGTTAGGAACTCTTGAGGGGTGGAGCCCCAGGGCTCACATGCTGCCGGTGGGCATCTTAGCAGTCTCCTGGTTCTTTGTTTTTGTTTTAATTCAGTCAGCACATTCTGAGCTTTTACCCCATGTAGGGCAGAGCCTCTTAGCTGAGGCGGTTCTGCCCCCTGGAGCGTGTTTGACCGCGTGTGGACGGTTCCGTGTCACAGCCTGGCAGGAGCGAGGAAGGAGTGCTAGTGGCGTCCAGTGGGTGGACACTCCCCAGCATCGTGCGGTGCGGTGATGGCCCCACAGCAAGAATGAGTCGGCCCCTGGTGTCCCCCGCGCAGAGGCTGAGAAACCCTCTAGGTGGTGGATGCTGGTGGCCAGGTTCTCAAAGCCGAGGTCGCTGCTGCCTGAGGACTAGCTTGTCCTCGATTTGGGGCACTTAGGATGAAGCAGCCCTTTAGTGCCGATGGGGGAAGGTGTCTGGGTTCTACCGGGAGAGATCAGGAAGACACCGTGGCCGCCTTCTGTGTGGAAACTGGAAGGACGGTGTCTGCCCACATTCGCTTGCCTGCCATTTAAACTGTCTTCGGTGGGTGTCCCGGCCGCGGGGAGAGTGCTGTGAGGGAGACGTTGTTGAGCATCTTTTTATGCTTTTAAACGTTTAAGTTGTGTGGTATTTATTCATAAATAGTTAATAGTTTTCTGATTCTAAAAGTGACACCTTCGTATTGTAAAGAACTCTTAGAAAACGTGGAGAATAAAAGACCGGGAACACTCATAGTCTGCATCCTGCTTATGGACACCAGATAGTGATCTGGCGCGTCCTTCCAGTTAGTTATTTCTGCCTGTCTTCTGTGTGTTCGTGTGACTTCTCTTCAACTGGAGTCCTGCTAAATGACCAGGTTTGAGCCCTGCTCCTTGAGATCATGGAGCAGACACCTCCCCACATCACTGAAATCGTCTGCGGACGTCTCACAGCCGTGTGCTTCCGGCATGTGCATCTGACGGAGCTCATTGAGCTCTTCCGCTTTTATTGGACTCAGAGGTGCTTTTCATTTATTTGGACAATCTGGCGTGTCTGCCAGGTGCGGCACATCCTGTGTCCGGGAGGAAGGGTGCTCCTGCCCCTTGTCTGCCAGGGGGCACCAGGGCTGCCCCACGTTCCTCTTTGTGGATTTCAGGAAGTGGAATGACTTGGTCTAACTTCGTATTTTAAGATCCTTGGTGCATATTGCTTTCCAGAAATTTTACCCTGCCTTCCCCCTTGAGTTTTTATTCTATTCAAAAACCACTTTAAATGGTAAGATAGCCGCTGGTGTCGAACACTCAGATGAATCACAGAGGCGAGGGGAGCCCAGGGGCCGGCTCTGTTGGGTGTCCCGCTTCCTAGAGATGACGTCTGGCCCGCAGCCCTGCACCTCGTCTCTGGCCGCTGCCTCCCACCACTGGGCCGATGCTTTTCTGTTGCGTTTGTTTTGTGTGGATCCCCATTTGACCTAAATGGTAGAGAAAACCAAGCGTAAAATCTAGTTACTGGGTAGAATATAGATTCATTTTATAAACGTTCTTCATCCATATGTTGTGCCCCAGATTTCTGATTTGTTGTACTTTTTAACCCATGTCAAGTGCCTTCCACCTGCACTCTACAGCCCCATCTTCTGAATGCCAGGCTGCAGCCTCCCCCAGAAGCTGGCTGTACCCAGCAACCCATGAGCCCTCGTAGGTCTAGGACTGGACGACTGGACGGGGAGGCAGCTGGCGGGGGGGGGGTGGTATATTGCATCTGGATGCTTCTGAAGTGTTGAGCTGGGAATAGAATGCAGAACTTTCAGGGGAAATAAAATATGCAAAGTAGATCTCAGACACTGAGCAGAGGGCGTGAACGGGGTGGGAAATGGGCGGCAACATCACGGGCAAGGAGCGCACCTCCTTCAGGGTCTGTCCCTGCCACCTGGCTCTGGAAACAACTTAGGGAATTTTAGAACTGTTTCGTTTTAATTTTTTTGTTTATTAAAAAAACATCTTTAATGTTTACTTATTTTGAGAGAGAGGTAGAGCATGAGCTGGGGAAGGGCAGAGAGAGAGGGAGACACAGAATCCAAAGCAGGCTCCAGGCTCTGAGCTGTAGGCACAGAACCTGATGCGGGGCTCGAACTCATGAAATGTGAGATCGTGACCCGAGCTGAAGTCTGATGCTTAACCGACTGAGCTACCCAGGTGCCCCAGAACGGTTTCTTTTTCAGTGTGTAATCAGAGTGTTTTTAAAGGAGGGGCAGGGCTCTTCACAGCAAGGTCAGGAACGGAAACAGTTAAACGTTGCTTTGTGCACATCCTGTAGTTTGTCTGATTTGGCTCCTTGGCACACGTGAGCTTGCGTCTGTGTCCCGGAGGTAAACTCTAAGTGAGTTATGAGAGAATCTGAGTTTATTCCCAGTTGTACCAACCTGTGGTGACCGGGGCGCGAGCCACCTTCCCTCCCCCTGCATTAGAAGAAGGTGCCTTTCCGTCAGTGTTCGTGTTTCCTGTGGTCAGGAATGGCCTCTCCTCCCTCCTCAGGACCACGTTGGCCCTGTGAGGAAGTAGGTAGCCCCCACCAGATGTGGTGGGTCTGTGGGGATGGCTGCATGGCCTGGCCCAGTAGTGCCTGCTGTGTGTGGGGTCCTCTGAGCCCGGGTCCCCAGGGAGGCCCCCCCCCAAGAAGGGTTCCGAGCAGGTTCCCACCCTCACGCTGACCTGGTTTTAACGGAGAGAAGTAGATCAGAGACCGAAATAGGGTGGTATGAGCCGATAGGGCAGAAGTGAACTGTGCTTCTCACTGAAATTTTACAGATGTCCTTCTTCTGTGTTTTTCCCCCCTCCCTTAAAGTTCGGACCTTTGGGCTCTCGGATGTATAATATATCAGCTTGTGGCAGGACTGCCGCCTTTTCGAGCGGGGTAAGACCACTCACCGCCCCCTGAAACCATTGTAGCAGCTGACAGCGAGGTGGGAGGGGGCGGCCCTCAAGGCCGGGCCAGGGTAGAGGGGACTTCCGCGTGGTCCTTCAATGACCACAGTGTCTCTGTAGGGAGAGAGGGTGACTGCTGTCCTGGGAAAGGGGAGGTTTGTGTGCTCTGTGCAAAGTGATGGTTTTTCTTGTTTTACAGAAATGAATATCTTATATTTCAGAAGATCATTAAGCTGGAGTATGACTTTCCTGAAAAATTCTTCCCTAAGGCAAGAGACCTTGTGGAAAAACTTTTGGTAAATGTTTTGAATTTTTTCTGGTAAGATGATCTGATGGCCACATGCTGAGTCCTTCTGAACTTGTGGTCACAGGAGCTTTACTGCAGGTCCCTGTGTTTAACAAAAGGAGGTCTTGGGATTGATAATGATTATAGATAGATTTGTATCTTCTGTCTCGTGTCTATAAGCCCTTTTTAATTTGCAAATGGCTGATTCTTTAATAAGACAGGAGATGATTGTATCATTTTGCTTGTGCTCGTCAACGTACATGGCACTTAAAATTACTCGTTGCTGGAGCAGCTGGGTGTATTCCAGCGGCATGTGGCTGCAAACGTTAGTGACATCTGTGGATGTCAACTTTAACATCTGCCACCTGAAGCTCTTAAAGATCACCTCAGGTACTATAGCAGAGGTAGGCAGATGTACCCGGGAAAAGGACGTGTGATTGTTCTAGAGCCTGCAGGGTCCCTGCCCTGGTGTGCATGGGCACTAGACCTTCCCTTCCCTTTCCTTGGCCTTGGGGAGCTGGGTCAGCGCATCTCCGCCTGCCCCTCCTGTGCCATCCGCGGCGGCGTGTTGTTGCTCTGTGGGTCCAGGGGCGTGAGGCTGGGTCTGGGAGGTGGCGGCTGTGGAGCCCTCGGAGATGAAGCGTGGGCGGGAGAACACAGCATTCTGTTCCTGGTCTCTGATACCTCACCGTCAAGACGGATTCTGGGTGTCTTTGTTACGAGAGCCAGTGTGTTCATTTGGCTCTTGTTGTGGGATTTTTAATTGTGTATCTTAAAGAACACTTGTTGGGGCGCCTGGGTGGCTCAGTCGGTTGAGCGGCCGACTTCGGCTCAGGTCATGATCTCGCGGTCCGTGAGTTCGAGCCCCGCGTCGGGCTCTGTGCTGACAGCTCAGAGCCTGGATCCTGTTTGAGATTCTGTGTCTCCCTCTCTCTGACCCTCCCCCATTCATGCTTTGTCTCTCTCTGTCTCAAAAATAAACGTTAAAAAAAAAAAAAAGAACTTTTTTTTTTTTTTTTTAAGGTTTTTTTTTGGGGGATAGAGACAGAGCGAGGGAGGGGCAGAGAGAGAGAGGGAGATGCAGAATCCGAAGCAGGCTCCAGGCTCTGAGCTGTCAGCACAGAGCCGGACACGGGGCTTGAACCCACAAACTGTGAGATCATGACCTGAGCTGAAGTCGATGCTTAACCGACTGAGCCACCCAGGCGCCCCAGGAACACTTGTTATTCGTTAAGTTCTGATTTATTTTCACCTGTGCCGGGGGGTGGGGAGGGATAGAGGCTGGAGAGAGAAGCCGCCCAGGGGGTGAATCCGCCGTCCACCCCCCACCCCCCCGGCGCTCTGTGGGGTGGTGGCAGGGCGGGGCGGGCCGTGGGGCCTTCTGTGGCCAGAGATGGGAATTGGGAAGAGTGTGCCGAAAGAATTTGTCGGTCAGGATTAGTCTTTGTTCCGCACACTGACTCGTTTTGACTTCTGTTTCAGGTTTTAGATGCCACGAAGCGATTAGGCTGCGAGGAAATGGGAGGGTACGGCCCTCTGCAGGCTCACCCCTTCTTCGAGTCCATCTCGTGGGAAAACCTGCAGCATCAGACGCCTCCAAAGCTCACCGCTTACCTGCCGGCCATGTCGGAAGATGACGAGGACTGCTACGGGAATGTAAGCCGGTGGCACGCACGCAGTGTCCGGGTGTGGGGGGTGTGTGTGTGTGTGTCCGTGCGTCTGTGTGGTGTGTGTCTATGTGTGTCTGTGTGTGTGTGTGTGGGGGTGTGCTTCTGTGTCTGGTGTCGGGGGAGTACGTGTGTGTCAGGAACAGCCCAGCTGAGGGGAATCGCACGTGCTGTGCTGTGTGCAGTTGTGCCGTGGGCCCTGGGAGTCCAGCCTGTGGGGTGCACGGCTGGAGGGGAAGCCAGCCTTGACCTGTTGGTGGTTGAACACTTGGTGGCCAGGGTCGGAGTTTCTCCCCAGTGCTGGGGCCGAGGAGACTCCCGCCTGCACATCTGCCGGAGGGTGAGGGCAGTCTCCTTTTCTTATTTCCTATCGTTAATTTTCGCCCGGGCTATTCACATCAGAGCCCGGTGTTGGGGCAGGGAGACGGTAGCAGTGGGACCAGTACCCTGCACACCGTCCCCCTTGGCTTGGGGGTGCTGAGTCTCCCGGTAGGCTTCTGTCTTCGGCTTTTGGCTGGTATCTTTATAATCGGGTGTCTACAGACGTTCTGGAATACTTCACTTTCCGAGAGAAGCCCAGGATGCTCCTGCTTTGAACTTTTTGGAGACATGGCATTCAGGATGGACATTGGTCACTGTTGGCTTTTAGTGCCTGGGAGAAGCAGGGGTCTTAAGTATACTTTGTTCTTTGAGCTTCTCTTCTGGAGGGTGTGAAACACGGGAGGGGGCAGAGGAGTGCAGTGAGCCACAGGGCACCTGTCTTGCACCTTGGGTGACCAGCTCACCGACAGTCCTGTGCTCCCTCCTCACCCTTTACTGTGGTCCTTGTATTTAAATAGGATTTCACGTGTTTCTGTTCTCACCGATCATCCATTCTCATTGTTTAGCTTCTGTTGTTGTGGCTTATCCTAACCAGTGACCACATATCGAGTTCTCCTTTATTTGATTGGCGGACTCTAGATTTTATCTAAAAGTCACCCAGAGCTTAGTCAAAAGTACTACTTGTATCATCTCTCAGAGACTGAATTTCTTCTCTTACTTACTGTTGTAAATAAAACATCACCCTTTTGTTATCCTCAAGTATCCTTTGTGCCCAGACTTGAGGGGAGCCAGATGTGGGAAGCTCTCTAAGGTGGCCTCAGTTGTCCGCAGCCTCCATGTGTGCAGACTGCAGGGGACTCAGCCCCAGGACTCTGCCCCTGGCCTGACGTCTTGCTCGAACCATGGCCGGTCGGAGTGGGTTGGGGTCTCCAGTGCCTATGGCAGGGGTGTCCCAGGGAAGCGGTGTGCCCTCCGCACCAGCTCTGAAGCAGCTGTACGTGCCGTGACTGGCTCAGATCTCAGTGCCCGGGGCGCTCCGCTTTCTGGGGCTGTGTGTGCGCACACCCTGGAGTGTCCGGTGCACGCCCTCTGCTGTTTCATCGCATTCACTGTGTTGAGAGCCCTGGCTTCTCGGTACTCGAGTGTTACCATCTTAAAACCAGCTCCGTTTGTTAATGGCTTACTTTTTGTTAAGTGGCTCATCCTCTGCTTTAAAAGCTGCCTTGGAAGGGGTTCAGGCAGCGCTCACTATGCTAGACTTGCCATTTGGACAGTTAAGTGAGCCTGGAAAAAGACTTAAGCCTGGAAAGATACCAGATACAGGAGGGGGCCTTCCCTTTCTGCGGGTGTTGACAGCCTCTCGGGGGCAAGTTTTCCCTCAAGGGGCTCCGAGAGAGTGGGGTCCTTTTCAGCAGTGAGGGGGCTTCCATCTGGGGGTGAGTAGCAGGGAATGGTCTCTGCTCAGGGAGGGAAGAAGCAGGCACTCGGTTCTCTTGTGTGTCCCTAACCCCCTGGGGTGCTCACGGTAGTGCTCGCGGTTAGGCTCTGGAGTGAGCGTGCCGGGTGTGGTGCCTCTGGAGAAGTGCTCTGGGCCAGACCAGCCGGGGCAGTTTCCTTACTGTGCACAGCCCAGTGTCACCCCTTGTCACACATTCTTTCTGGGCCTGTGTTTTGTGCTGTGGGTTGTCCTAGGCATGCTGAGGAGAGAAGAGCAGAGAGCTGAGATACAGCATCTGGAGCTTTCCACGGGGAGCAGTGCAGTGCAGCCCCCCAGACAGGAATCACCTAGACAGTGACGGTGGTGATGGAAAGCCTACAGCTCCGTGACAAGACTAGAGGGGCTGCTGCGTTCGAAGGACTTAGAGGACCGGTTCTGATGTGGTGCTAGCTAGTAGGCTGTGGCCTTGGGGCAGGTCTGAGCCTCAGTTTTCCTGTTTCGGAAGTGGAGTTGATGGAGGCAGCCGTCTCACTGGCCTTGCAGCCCCCTGAGACACCTGGGGTGGCTCACGGAAGCCTGTATAAATTTTGGAATATTAAGCAGAGGCGGTCTTGGCCTGGGGAGTTCCTCACAGAGCAGAAGCAGAGAATGTGCCAGAAGAAGACCTTAAGTGAAGGGCTATGGGAGTGTCCCGGTGTCACTCCCAGCCAGGAGCCGGTACGGTGGGACTGAGACTGCTGTTTGTGCCATGTGAGCCCTAGGGAGAAGGCTGCTTGGGCAGCAAGGCTGCAGGGTCTGCACGAGGGGGCCTGGCTCTGAGGCCCAGCTCTGTGGGGGGCAGCCGGGTTCTTTCTGGAGGCACCGGGAAGATACGCTGACTCTTAGCCGTTGGCAGTGGCTTTTTTCCCCCTCGTACTTGGCTGCGGTGGGGTTCGGGCGTGGGGCCTACAGCTGTGGGGAGAAGGCTGCCTAGGGTGACCTCTTTTCCCAGGTCTTTGCTAGGGGTTCTCTGGCCCTGTCATTGGCCCCAGGGGCGTGTGGGTGTGCAGGCTGTGCCTGGTCGGCACATTTGTGAGTACATCCGTTTTTGTGTCCCCACCGGTTTGTGGCTTTGTCCAGAGTGGCAGACAACTTTGTATCAAGCTTAATGAATATTTGCTGCAGTTAAAAGGAATTTTTTTTAAAAAATGAGCACAGTCGAGTTGAATTGAATCGAGCCAAATTGAATACAGTGACAACCACAGACTCAGCAACGTAGAACCACGGGGCCAAAGGAGGAGGGCTCCCGAGCTCACAAGAGGGTGCCCCCAGGTGGCCACCCGTCCCTCCTCCTAGCCCCTCTGGTCAGGGCGGCACGGGCCTTGCAGAGGTCAGCAGGCCTCAGGCCTTGGGTCTCCCCTCCCTGGGTTCGGAGGCTGGGGGTTAGGTTCGCCCGTCGGGAGCAAGACCAGACCTGGCAGCCTCCGGCCCCGCCCGCTTCCGTGGCCGCCGGCCAGCGCAGGAGGACTCGGAGCTGCCGCGGGGCCTCCGGGCCTCCAGGGTGTGGGCTGCGGGCCCAAGGGGAGTGGTGCACGGCTGTCACTCTCCCCTCCTCTCTCTGCAGTACGACAACCTCCTGAGCCAGTTTGGCTGCATGCAAGTGTCCACGTCCTCGTCATCACACTGCCTGCCCGCCTCGGACGCAGGCCTGCCGCCAGCGGCGGGCAGCAACATCGAGCAGTACATCCATGACCTGGACACTAACTCTTTTGAGCTGGACCTCCAGTTTTCCCAAGACGAGAAGAGGCTCCTGCTGGAGAAGCAGGCCAGCGGCAATCCTTGGTAAGAGCTCGCAGGTGTAAGCCGCGCTCCACTGACCGGCGCGGGGCGCCCGGCCTTCGTCGCCGCTGCCTGCCGAGGCCCCCACCGCCTCACACCTCCCTCGCTGCCTTGCGTGCTCTGCAAACGAGGGCCCTCAAAGGGTCCAGCTTGAAACGGGTGTTTGGAGGTGTCGGGCCCGGGGATGAGTGGGTTTCAGCCTGTCGGGGCTGTAGCCCTTGCGGTTGAGCAGGCCAGGCCTGCCGTTGCCCGTGATCCGATGCTGTGGATTCGTGGCAGACTGGATGACCACTGCCCCCTTGTGAGGCGTGTGGGACATTCCAGAGTTTTAGCTATTGCAGATCGTCATTCGCGTGTCGCTTTTCCCACATGCCTGGGTATTTCTTAAAAGAGGAGCTCTGGGGTGGCAGACAGGGTGGCGGTGTGCACATGCATTGTGTCCACAGTACCCAGAACCCCCGTTTCCCAGCTCTCTTGCCTCGCCTTACGCGTTTGATGCTCTAAAAGTGGGCTCATGGCAACTTGCACTTGTATTGTTACTGAGGCAATCATCTTCTGTGTTCGTTGGCCATTTGTATTTATTTTTTGAGGTATTGTATGTCCTTTGGCTGTTTTTCTTCTTGTACATTTTCCATCTTTTCGAAATTGACTTCTGAGAGCCATAGACACGAAGAATATTTTTGTTGCCTGTTTCGCACACATTTTTCAGTTATCTTTGCATTATCTTTTCCAGTTACGTTGTGTGTATTTTTGAATAGAAGTTACAAATTCTTACAAAGTTACATGTGTCTGTTTTCATTTTGTTTTCCACCTTAGTCATGTTGAGAAGAGTGTCTGTACCCTGACATTTTCTTGATGTGTTTTTATGGTTTCACCTTTCACTCGGGCAGAGGGGAGTCCACCTTGGGGATGGGGTGGGGAGATGTGTAGGGGTAGGAGCGGGGATGGAGGGAGAAGGTGGGCGATCAGAGGGCTGGGCTGGGCCAGAGTGTGGAAGAGTGAGAAGGCAGGGCCCAGAGGGGAGCGCGTGGTGAAGCTGGGATTTTGTACCATTAGAAATTATCGTTTCTAGAAAAAGTGACGGTGATGTTGGCCAACCGGAATGCTCTACACTTCTCTGGAGTTTGTCTTTGCTCAGGTGGTATCGCTTAGGAGTGTGTGCTGAGCAGGGAGGAAGGGGCTTTGGTCCGAGCGGTGTGAGCACTGCCGGGCCGCGCACTCTCTGCACGCCTTCGTGCCGGCTTGTGCGGGAGCGTCCCGGGCCGTGCGTGCTGGGGTCCCTGACGAGGGCTCGCTCTGTTGCAGGCGCGGGGTTACTCCCCAGAAAACTGTGTGTCTTTGCCTCTGGTGTTTCCTGAGGCTCTTCTGTCCAGGTTCTGGGCCCTGCCGAGGCCTCTTGCCGTGCCTCTCTTTGTTCAGGCTTCTCTTCCCTTTTGTCCAGGTTCAGGCCTATTTGGAATCTGGTGATGGCAGGAGCTTTGAGGCACCCTTTATTTGGCCAGCGCGAGATCTGTCAAAAACACTTCGTTCTTAGGAACCGTGGCTCCCCGTGTCGGTCGCGCAGGGCGTACCGCTAATTGTGTGATACCGCTGAGATGGTGTGCACTCTCTCCTTCCCGTTCTCTGTGAGCGGCCATTGCACTTCTTCAGGGGCCCCACGCTGTACGGTGATGTGGTTTCTGGACTGTGTGCTTTTTTTGTATTTTCTGAAGAAGTAGGTTTACAGTAGAAGTGCGTGCAGTTTTAGAAATTTAGTGAATTCTCAGTATTTCTACTGCGCTCTTAGTAGCTGTCTTCAGTTATACCTGTTGTCGTTACTGTAACTCCGTGCCATCCAATAAATCCTTGCTTTGAAATTGTAAAGTTTTCCCTGTGCCTACACAGACACCCGACAGGATCTGAGTACACTTTCCTGACTTTTTTTGCAATAAACTTTTAAAATTTGTGAAAAACATTTCTGAATTTTATCTGAAACTTTTCTTTTTCCATATTTAAATTTTTTTTAATGTTTATTTTATTTTTGAGAGACACCGAACATGAGCTGGGGGAGGGGCAGAGAAGGAGACACAGAATCCAAAGCAGGCTCCAGGCTCTGAGCCGTCAGCCCAGAGCCCGATGTGGGGCTTGAACTCACAAACCGTAAGATCGTGACCTAAGCCGAGTCAGATGCTTAGCTGACTGAGCCATCAGGCGCTCCTGAAACTATTATTTTAGATTCGGATGATGTAGTCTCAAATAAAAGGACGTTTATCACCTGTCTTCCACATTTAAGTAGGAATCATCGCCTCAAAAAGGGAGATGATCTGCTTTCTTGATCCATAGCAGCCCCACCTACGCCTGAAGGGACTGAAGAGGAGGCCCTGCCTATGAGAGAGGGAGCGGGCCGCCCGCGGAACCTGGGCCGGACTGCAGGAGCTACCGCGTACCCACGGGTGTCAGTACCTTCTGGGTCGTGTCTCTGAGCAGAATGTTTGGCATCCTGTCATGGCGCCAGTGAGGCTGCAGCCTCCGAGGCCCCTCATTCGGAGTTTTAACAGTAAAGGAATTTTGTGTTGTAATTTTACACAAGGAGCTCTTTCAGTGCCACACATTAATAAAAAGCCACTGTGTTGGGGCGCCTGGCTGGCTCAGTCGGTTGAGCATCCGACTTCGGCTCAGGTCATGATCTCACGGTCCGTGAGTTTGAGCCCCGCGTCGGGTTCTGTGTTGACAGCCCAGAGCCTGGAGCCTGTTTCAGATTCTGCGGCTCCGTCTCTCTCTGACCCTCCCCCATTCATGCTCTGTCTCTGTCTCTGTCTCTGTCTCTCTCTCTCTCTCTCTCTCTCTCTCTCTCAAAAACACATAAATATTAAAAAAAAAAAAAAAAAAAAAAGCCACTGTGGCTTCTTACAGAGAAGTCACGTTGTCCAGGCTGGAGAAGTGCATGTTTGTGAAAGCTCAGAGACCAACGAGCGTTGGGCCGTGGATGCTACTGGGTGACAGGTAAAGAGGCTTGGTGCCGCCACAGGCCGTGGCGCGACGGCTCGCTGGGTTAAAGAGATGGCTGCATCCCTCCTGGCGAGTTGTACTTTTGCCTCACGTGTGGATGAATCCCCAGATACTGCTTGTATTGCAAGCATAAGCCAAGCGTTGGCTTCGAGTCTGTGAGCCCAGATTCGCATATTTAGGAAGAGAAAAGCAAACTGTGATCCTTGCACATGGATGAAAACTAGACGCTCGCAGTTAATCCCACCGTTGTGTTGAATCTCTACTGCTTGGAAGCTGAAGTCCCACAGATTATCTGCACGTTTCTTGAGCTGAGCACCGCACCATCCTTCAGCTCCTTATTGATAACACTGGTTAATCCCCCAGCATTCAGGACACAGGGAAGACTCAGGAAGACTCCCTCGTCAGTGCCACACGTGCCCCTCACCGCCGTCGACACCAGAGGAGTCCTGGATAGATTTTCAGCATGGATTCAGTGAGATCTGCCACGCCAATCCAGTAACGCGGTTTGTATCCTTTTAGCTCGAAGACTTTGTAGACACCCTCAACTGCCATCCTAGGAGGTCTCTTCCAGTTTTCACCGTCATTGTCTGCTCCCATTTCTGGATTCGGTTCCCAGAGAGAAAAGTCTGCCACGTTCACTCCACACAGCCACACGAAGAGTTGCCACGTTCTCCCAGAATCCATCCGTGGCTGCTGCTGGGTTGAATGCCAGGTTTTCAGTTGGAAGATAGCAAAATCTCACGGAATCCAGATTACACCCACTTCCCGTCAAACGGTGTCCGGGTGGTCCGCTTAGTTTCCAGGTCACGTAGGAGAATACCCACTGGGTTGGAAACCACAATCACGACACAGCTTGACTGTAGGTGGAACGGTGGATTGGAAGGCGCTTATGCTCCTCTGGCCTAGACTGAGCCATCCCTCTCCCTCCTGCTGACAGACCCCTGCAGCCACCACCGCAAGCCCGGTCTCAGTGACCAGAGTCTTCTGTCGGCCACAGTCTCAGGTGTGTGAAGGAAGAAGCTCCCGTGTGGCAGACCCAGCGTTTCTCCTTTGAGTGCATCTTCCAAAACATCCCGACCAGGGCAAGTTGGTCAGCGAGAGACTCTCCCAGAGTGTTGACGGCACAGGCCGCTCCAACTTGGGCAACGCCCGCTGCCGTGATCTTACCGGTGGCGGTCCGGTTGTCCCCAGCGTCACCGCCGTGGCAGCGGAGAGACAGCCAGAAGAGCCGCGCAGAGGCGGCCGAGTCGGCGGCGTGCGGCGTGTCTTTCCGAGGGCGCAGGAGCTGCCCAGAGTGCCTCTTGTGACTCTTACTGTCTGTCCTGGAACTAACGCGTCGACAGGTGTGCCGGTGGTGCAGAGGCAGCGGTGGGTGAAACCACGGGTGCCAGGTCACGAATCCAGGCCGTGGCACCTAGCCGTGCGCAAGCGCCTGGGCTCTCTACAGCCAGCACGCGCTCATGGCGAGGGAAGAACCCCCCCTCACTTGTAACTAGTCATCACCGAACTCTCGCTTTGTTAGTCGTGTGCATAGCGCAGCGGGAAGTGTGCGGGAAACGTCTCTGCCGCCGACCCAGCTCTGAGCCGCCTCAGGCCGAGCCTTTGGCTGTTGGTTGGCGCTGGGAGTCGGACCCCCTCTCGTTCCGTGAAGACCGTTTTCACCACGGGGTTTTACTGGCAAACGATGGTCGTTCCAACTGGGCCATTTGGCCCTTTTTTCTGGGAGATGAGCGGCATGAGCCTGTCAAGACCGACAGCTGCCAGTGTTTGTTACCAGTGATAAAATCGGAATTAGAATTTTGGGAAACGTTATCTGTTTCTGTGAGCTTGCCATCTTCCCAGTGCTTCAAGCCTTTTTTTGAGGAGGTAAGTAGCGATGGTAATATGTTGAATTTGTCAGCACTGAGAAGGTCTCCGTCGTAACCCAGTGAACCACCGTCTTTCAGGTGAGTGCCTTGTGCCGCTGTAAAATCGCGTCAGGGCGGCAGAGCCGTTCAGAGCGCCAGGTGCCCCGATGAGCTGCAGGGTCCCAGGGCCCGAAACGCCCATTGCTGGGGACTCCACTTCCGCACGGCAGCGGACCTGGCAGGAGCCGCACTGGCCGAGCGGAGGCGGAGGCAGGCCGGAGCCCCCCGGCTCTCGATGTGACGCCACGTGCTAACGAGGTTTGTCAAATGTGCAGCAGGCTCATGCTTCGCGTTAATTATCTTCGTTTTGGAAAAAAGTTACTCTCGAATAAAAATGGTGTTTATGTTAGTATGTGATGGGTTTATTTTTGTATCTTACGAATTAAATAAATATTTGAAAATGTTTCTGTCTTAATTTCTCCTACATAAATATCAGTGGCTAAAACCCATATAAAGGACGTCTCTTCGGGATCTTCTGTAAAGTTTGAGGGTATAAAGGGGTCCCGAGAGCTAGTGTTGTAGAGCCAGCTGGCCACGGTCACTCGTTCCTCCGTCACCTGTGTCAAAGCCCAGTGTGGGAGCCTTCCTGAGGTGGTCAGGAGAGCCACGTCGGGGTTCTGGTGGTCCTGCTTGGCTCTCCTGGGTGCGACCGTGCACTGAAATGGCTCAGGCTTGCTTGTGGCCTCAGGCTTGCATCCTCAAAAATGATCTTTTCGGGGTAGAGGGGGTGCTGCTGGGCTAGTGTGAGGAGGAGAGAACCGTGGCTGTGGAATCAGGAAGGAGCGTCTTAACCCCGTCACCCTTCGAGAAACGAGCATCCGTGTGTGTGGAGCAGGGCTGAGGTGAAGCCCCGCCTGCCTGCCGACCGCGCTCCGAGAGTCCCGGGCTCTGGGGTGCAGGGGCACGTGCCGCTGGCCAGAGAGGGGAAAGGTGCCTCATGCAGGAGTTGGGGGTGCCTTTTTGGGGGAGCAGGAATTGACTTTTGGAAGGAAAAAACTCAAAGCGATGCCTTAAGTACTTAAACTTTTCAAAGGAGATCCCCAGCAGCCTGTTGTAAGCCTGGGTGAGCGCGCTGCGCGACTGGGTTGTGGCACTTGTGCTCGTAATGGAGCTTCGGACCCTCTGCGTCCTGCCTCGGGTTCATTTCAGTGCAGCCACTGGGTCCAGTCGGCCAGCGCCAGCTGTCACCCCGGGCCATGTGGCTCCATGCCTCCTGCTTGCACACGTGTGGCAGGGAAGGTGCGTGCTGGTCCGCGCAGTCGGGCGGGGCCCATCCATGGGGTGTGTCCGTGGGGTCCTCACCACGGGGATGAGGAAGGGGCTTCCCTACAGTGCCACAGAGTTCTGTGGCTGAGCCGGTGCCGTGACTTCAGTTTCACTGGTGCAGAAACACCATTGGGGACGTTTGTGCTCCTGCTCCTTGTCTTTCTTTACTTCCTGAGGGCCGGTAGCCGGGAGTGGGCTCCCCTCTCAGTACACAATTTGCAGATTGTCGTTTGGCGGGCCTTGAGTTCAGGGCCATAGGCACCGGTGCCATGCGGGAGCGTCCCTTTCCAGAGTTGTCTCGGGGCGCTCGCACACATGCCAGGGCACCCCAGCAGGGCATGTGAGAAGGGGAGCTTTTGGTTTATTTAGGGCCGTTGAGAATGTGGCGAGGTCACTTTCTCTCTCTCGGAATTTCTAGCTTGTGTCCTTTGCTCAGTTTTCTGTTGAGCTTTGAGCCTTTCCTGCCACTTTGTGCTCTGTGCGGTGCACGTGCTGACCCTGGTTTGCGGAAGGTTTCTCCATCTGGTCTCCTTGTTCACGTTGGTTGGTGTGCATTCAGAGGTGCTTTCTGTGCTCGCCTGGTCCTGGCCGCTACTGACAAGGTAACTCCTCCTTGCAGGCCCTTCCTTCCCTGCTCTTCCCTTGGCAGGAGCTGGATCGCTTTGGGGCTTCTGGTGACCTGGGATCAGAGTTAACTGACCTCGACAAGAATCTTCCCTAGTTTCTCAAGCTCGGGGAAAACCAGAATATTTTATTGTCTCATGATGACCCACATGAGGCTGCGAAGATGCCGTGAGGCCATGTCTTTCCTTCTTTCCTGCTCGTCTTCCCTGGTGCCTTGGCGCCCTCGGCCCAGTGCCCTTGCGGCCCGGCTGCCCGGAGGGCTTGGCGGTGGGATCCTTCACAAGCCTGGGCTGAATTTGAGCTCCCCTCCGCATCCAGTGTAATTTAATTCAAGTCTCCCCGTATTATTTGTGGTCCTGAATGTCACATCCAGTTGCTCTGTGTTGGGGCTTGTTGACTAGAAGAGGCTTTCTGTTTGATGCGTGTATTTCCGTGCTGCAGGAGATCATTATATCTCCTCTTCCAAGTCTTGTTTTTGTTTGTTGGCTTTGTTTTTAAGTACTTTGAGAGGGAGGTACTGCGCTTTTCCTCATAGACCAGTTTTTTCGTTAAAATTTTGCTTAGTTTTACAAGTCCACATGCTGCTACGTCCCCTTAGATGTAGTCTGGGGCCACAGTGGGCTCTGGAGCAGGCACTGGTGTGGTTGGGTTAGTCTGGGGGCACTTCTCAGGCCCAGTTGAGCCTGGTGGGAGAATACTGGTCTGCCAGCTTGGCTGGCCTCGGACACATACTAGGTGTCCCGTGTGCGCCCCGGCTCAGGTACAGAATGGTAAAACTGTCAGTGTTTGAAGTAACAGTTGTTTTATGCCTTTTCAAACATAAAACGCTATGTTCTCCAGTAGGTCCCCCAGACCAAGAATTTCCGTAAAGTCACACACAACAGAAACCGGCAACTGTTCACTTTAACCAAGAGAGATAACCTTTAAACATTAACACGACATCTTTGAAACTCCCAGGAGTCAAAGTGAAGCATACTTGCTAATAATGTGTGTTAAGTTAAAGTCATGTTTCTTGCTTTCTCTTCCAAATTCCTGCTGTATTTGGGTTAGGAGTGCTTTGTTACTATGGTAGGAACAGCAGTAAGTTGTTTTTTTTTTTTTAAGGTTTCTTTTTTAAGAGAGACAGAGCGCGCGCGCGTGTGAGCACACACACGCTCGTGCGCACACTTGAGTGGGAGAGGGGCGAAGAAAGAGAGGGACAAAGGTTCGAAGAAGGCTCTGTGCTGACAGCAGAGAGCCCGATGTGGGGGTCAAACTCAGGAACCGTGAGATCGTGACGTGAGCTGAAGTCGGATGCTTACTTGAGGCCCCTCCCCCCCGCCCCCCCCAGGCGCCCCTACCAGTAAGATGTTCTCAGACAGAGTCCAGCACTTTAATTTTAGGGATTTGTGATTCTCAGCTACTCGGTGGTTTCTGAGTATCCAGTCGGGGGTCCCAGCTTGGGCAGGGAACACGTGGCCAGCAGTCAGTATCCCGAGGTTGACTCTCAGCAGCCTCCACCCTTCTGGGGGCCTCTGTTCGCCTCAGCTTTGTTCACATTAAAGAGGACGTGTGTCACCGTACGGGTCTGCAGCGCCGCCTCGCCGCCACCTGTCTGCTGCTGCGCGAATACCGCTGTGCAAGAGTTAGCAGCAGGCCACCGTGCTGGCAGGAGTGGATGCTGGCCCGCTTGCACGGTGCGTCGCACTTGGGCCTCACGAGTCACCGGAGCGAGTTGGGGCTGTGAGGAGGCTTGAGCAAAGCTCGCAGATGCCCTCGGGAAGTTCATTTTGAGCGGAGTTGGGAGAATTTCCGTCCCTGACTCATGGCAAGCGTCTCATTCTTGCTTTCTTCCTTTCATAGGCACCAGTTTGTAGAAAATAACTTGATACTAAAGATGGGTCCGGTAGATAAGCGAAAGGTAAGTCTGACTCCCGCCGCACCACCGGCTGCCTGTCTCCCTGTCTGCTCTTGGTCGGGGCCTGGCCTCCTTCGGTTGCACACGGCGTCCTTGGTCTTGGTTCCCTTTCTCGAAAAGAGCATTTCTAGATTTGATGGCTAAGGAAGACTCAGCCACTCAGCGGAAGCCGTTTGAAACCACACAGGAAGGCTGTGGTAAAATAGAAATACAACCTCTCGTTTCGGGCTCAGGACCGGGGTTTTCATATCCTCACGAGTTGTCTATTTTTTCATTAGAATTGTTTTTCCAAGTTGTTATTTATTTGTGACCTTGTTATGGATTAATTAAATGGATTGTGTCAAAAATATCAGACCCCACCAACATTCTCCCATCTGCCGACACGGGCCCTTCTTGAGGTCAGGCTCCCAGTCTCCGTTCCTGGCTGTGCCGGAGACACCGCCCGGTGCGGTGTAGCAGATAGGGGTTCCGTCAGGAACGCGGGGCCTTGCGGTGATGGTGGGCCAGCAGAGTCGGCTCGTCTTCGCCTGCCCGTGCTGCCGCTGCCCCGGCCCGGTGGGGCAGCCACGGGGGGGGTGGGGGGGGTGGGGGCGGCACGCCCAGTGAGGATGTTGGGATCCAGCTCCAGAAGGCCAGGCAGGCTGGGCACTCAATTCCTCCTGCGCCTGTGTGACACGAGAGGCCGATCCGTGGTGGGGAGGCTGTGTCTTGAGTGCGTGGGCGGGTGGTGGGCAGTGGGCCCGGTGCCCGGAGCTGCTTTCACGGCCTGGCCTCAGGGGCAGCGGTATGTGCCACCTCCTCCCTGAGGTGTCACTGCGGGGCCCTGACAAGCAGCCTCTTTTCATTTTGCATCAGGGCTTGTTTGCACGACGACGACAGCTACTGCTCACAGAAGGGCCACACTTGTATTATGTGGATCCTGTCAACAAAGTCCTGAAGGGCGAAATTCCGTGGTCACAAGAACTCCGACCAGAGGCCAAGAACTTTAAAACCTTCTTTGTCCACACGGTGAGTTTGTCTCTCTGGGTTCTCCTTTGAGGGGCTGGTGTTTCTCCCTTTCCTGTGTCCCGGGGGCCCCATGTTCTCGGCTCAGCCCTGAGCTGGGCCAGCTTGTCTTTGTAAGGGGTCTGTGACCCTTCCTGCAGAGGTGAGGGCTGCACATATGGGAAGGAAAACCCCACATGCTCGCGTGCTTCCACCGGCATTGGCAGTGGCTGTAGCGGGACGACGGTCTCCTGCTCTCTCTCACGACAGGTCGAGGTGCTGGTCTTGGCGGGATTCCCTCGGGTTCATTAAATCGGTTTTGTCTCCACAGCCGAACAGAACGTATTACCTGATGGACCCGAGTGGGAATGCTCACAAATGGTGCAAAAAGATCCAGGAAGTGTGGAGACACAGGTACCAGAGCCACCCGGACGCCGCCGTGCAGTGACACGTCCGAGGCTGCTGCCCTCGCTGCCAGGACACGTGCCCCAGCGCGGCTCGCCGCCATCGGGACGCTTCCAGACCACCTGCCAGCCATCTCAAGGGGGACGCAGACGGCGGAACCTTGCAGCTTTTTTATTTAAAAGAAAAGAAGAAAAAAATACCCAACCACACAAAGAACAAAACCAATAACGAAAAGGAATTCAGGGTCGCTTTGCTTGCTCTCTGTGCTCTGTGGAGGCTCCCCAAGCTCTCCTCGCCACGGGGACCCGGCACCGTGCACGTCTGCCTGATTCCCTCCCGGGCGAGTGGAACAGACTCGAGTCACCAGCTCTGCACCACACGCCCTGGTCACCTGTGGCCGAGGGGACGGGGTGTGTGTCTGGGCTCTTTCCGCCCCGAGGCTGTCGCAGAACCCTTTCGGCAGGGAGCCGTATACCCTCCGCCGGAAGTTGGCCTTGGTCTTTGCGGGCTGGGAGTGTTCTTGGCTTTGGTCCGCGTGCTCCCTTTCTTACGTCCCTACTTGATGCCCCCTGTGCCCCAGCAGGGCCCCTTGCTTGCCTTCTCACGCAGCTCTGGCTGTGAGATTTCTGTGGCTGTGAGTGCTCGCTCTGTGGGCTGCGTGTGGCGGGCAGGCTCCAGGTGGTGAGACGTGGCCCAGGCCGTCGGGGTGAGATGCTGAGGTTGGAGGGTGCCAGCGGGGTGTTCCGACCGAACAGCCTTCCAGGCGGTGTGGCCCTGTGGGGCTGGAAACCAGGCCGGTGCCCGGAAAGAGCACTGGCAGAAGCGGGCACCCGGCCGCACCAGGAGTTAGGGCTCCGTCCTGCTCCGTGTGAGGCCACAGGGCAGATGTAGGGAGGCACCGCTCGGTGAGCTCCTCCCGAGAGTTTTTTCAGAGGGCGAGCTTTGCAGGCCTCCCCCTGGTCGGTTCGGTAGGGCCGAGAGACTCCGGGCGCCAGAGGCTCCCGGCTGCCACATGCACCCTTTCCGTCGCGATCGAACGTTCTCCTGGCGAAACTCTGAGCGCTTGCACTTCTCGGTGGCGAGGGTCTAAAAGCCGCCTCGTGCTGCCAGGTCATCTGGTCCCCATCAAGATGTGGACCTTGCCTGGAAGAAAACGTTCGCCTTGCACGAGGGGTAGGAGCGCCACACTGGGGCCTGAGCATCCCGCCTGCTCGCTCCCTGGTTTCAGGCTTCTTCCTTGTGTTCCTTAGAGGCAGCAGGAAGCTGTACGCCATGGGGGGGTCCAGGATTTACCGGTCCTTTGATTTTCTTTGCTGCCAGTCCCTGGGCAGAGAATGCCTGTTGGCCTGGTGGTCACTGCTCTGCATTTCTCTCCCTGCTCAGGTTGTCCCTGGAGGGCAATCATCAGTCCCCTGTTGGAGAGGGGGAGGCCCCTCTGCTTGCAGGCTGCTCACAGACACACCTCTGTCCCCAGGGGATGAAGGTGTCCTTTAGGCTTTCAGGAAGGCACCAGTGGAAGGCTCCCGTGGAAAAGATCCACCACCGTCCCCCGCCACCCATTTCCCCCTCGACCCTCCGCCTATCTGGAGCAAAAACATCCGCTGCCCTGTGTTGACAAGCGGTCCAAATCCAGAGAAAAGAGGTTCTTCTCAAACTGGTTAGCCCGGGAGGAGTGCGTGGCTGTGGCGGTCGCGCCTCAGGGCATCGCAGGAGGTGGGGGGCGGGTGGTGGTTGGGAGCAGAGACGCTGCCAGGTTTGCCGATGGCTTCCCCCCGGGCTGCGTGCGCTGCTCTGCACTAGAGCCGAGCCTTACGTGAGCAAGCAAGTGCGCGTGCGCCTAGGTGGGTGGCAAGGTGTCGGGCGTGCTTGCCCTTGGGGTGCCGCAGGGAGCAGGACCCTGCTCTGGGCTGGAGTCGTAGGTCAACCTCCTGTCGTCCTCTTTCTTGCTTGTGAAAAAGCTTACCTGTGTTCACCTGCTTTTGAGAAAGTCCGTCTCACTTGGCCCTTTCAGGAAGTCCGTTTGCAGCTTTTTCCCCATATCGACAACTTAACTTTGTCAGCACACAGCTTCTGTGGCTGTGCCGTTAAGAGAGTTAGGGGCCTGCTCCTGCACAGCATCCTGGGATCTGGTTACAGGGACCCGAGCAGAGCCGGTATTGGGCTTTCCCAAGAGCACTCAGCTGGGCTGCTCTGGGAGAGACGCATCGGCCGTTGCCTTCTTCTCCCTGGTTGGTGCCACTACCTCCCGGGCTAACCCCTCAAGCTCCATCTTAACCTCCAAAACCAGAGAACGAGGGGTTCGGGGTCGAGCTCGCAGCTGACAGAGTTGAAGTGACTGCCCTTGCCTGAGCCAGTGACAGCTGAGCCCTTCCCTATAGGCTACGTTTCTCCTCTCACTCAGAGCCTTCTCCTCCCCCTCCCCCCCCCCTTTTTTAAGGCCTATACTTCCTCTTTTCCTACCCTGTGCTTACTCATGTTAGCTTTAGTTTTATCCAGCTTGTCCTTAGAGCTCCTGTCCCGGCATGCAGGTGCCTTACATTCTAAGATGTGGACGTAACTGTTAGTCTAGTACGTACACAGACATACACGGAAATGCAAATGATGTACCTAAGGCGAGAAAGAAAATGCCCTCTTTGATGGATCCAGGAGCCGTGTGTCCCGCTGCGAGAGGGCAAGGGGAGGGCAAGGGGAAGTGTAAGTGCCAAACCGAAGAGCCGCCAAGCAGAGCCCGCCCTGCCCGCACCCTGTGGCCTCGCTGGCATGGAGGGGAGGGAGCGGGGCTGTGGTCTGCGTGGGCTTGTACAGCCCGCTGTCCTTGTCCCTCTCTGGGCACTCCAGGAAGCCAGGTTTGGGTGCACTTGTCTCTTGCTCTCTTTGTGTGGACTTCACCAGGAGAGCGGGTGGTGGGTGGTGGTAGCCTGCAGCCCCGTCGGGTGCACAGAGCCCCACCTGGTGAATGGCACTGCATTGCACCTGCGCTTCTGAACCTTGGCTCTCAGGAGTTTGTTGCAGACCTGCTCGGGAAAGATGCCTGTCACGGTCACGCCAGAGCTCACGGCACCCGCACCTGCTCCGGCCCCCGGAGGCCACGCTGTGGTATTTGTGGCCCATACGCGCCCAGGGCCGCGTGTTGTCACAGGGGCTCCAGGTGATTCTGTACTCTATTAAAACATTTGTTTTCTGGAAAAAAAAAAAAAAAAATCAACCGTAGGCTTACCAACCCAGAAAAGACCACTGTGAACGTTCTGGTGTATAGCCCACCTTCTCCCCTCCCCCCATGCACACATTTGTTTTCTTTTTAAACTAAACTGGGAACATAAAACACTGTTCTGCATTCAGCTTTTTTCACTTGATAATTTATCTTAAGCATTTCTCCATGTCATGAGCAATGATTAAAAAAACATTGTTTTCAGTGATTGTAGAGCTTAATGGTTATACATTTTATCATAATTTATCTAACCATTTCCCTGTTGTAAAACACTTAGATGGTTTTTGGTTTTTCACTATTTAAATAATGCTGTGATGAATATCTTCCTGAATCTTTGATTTTGACTCTGATCTCCCCCTTCCCCCCCATTCCTAGAAGTCATGTTTTTGGGTTAAGGAGTTTGTTTTAAAGGTGGTTTTTTAGTCCTTCCTCCGTCTTCATCTGATGCTTAGATGCTCAGAGTTCAGTGCAGAGCCTCCTCGGTTGTGTCCTGAGGATTCTGAACAAATCAGTTTCTGGTAAGGGGTGTGTTCCAAAGAAGGTTTTAGTAAGACTGCTCTTTTCTTTTTATAATGCTAAAATGACGTCCTTATTTAGGTCCATTCGTGGCAGATTTTTTCAAAAGCTAATTTCCTTATTTTCATTGAAGACTCTGGTTATGCTTGCATGTTAGTTACCGTCCCGTCCCCGCTGCTGCGGCTGTCCAGTGCTCCGTGATCTCGTCAGAAGCTCGCGCTTTGTGTCCACAATGGTACTGAATGTGCATCTGCACAGTCAGCTGAGAGGAAAAGTGTTGAACTGACCTTGCCACATGCTTACTGGATGATTTGTAGTCAGGTTCGTACACTCAGTACATTGGGCCGTTCGGAATCAGTAAAAGAGCAAATTCTCTACTTGAAAGAGACCACGTAGACAGTTGGGTTTTGCAGAGGTCTCCTTGCCCTCGTTCTCTCCAAACGGTGGGACTCAGTAAGAAGGTCTTAGCGGTTCAGTAGCGTGCAGCGGCTAGGCCTTTTCACTGTGGAATGTGATTGTCCTGGCCGACATGGTTTAAGGACCTCTCACACTGTTTCAGGTTGTCTGCTGGCCATCGAGTCCACACCACCCAATTTGGTTTCATTCTTGATTTCTCCACTTCAGTTTGGGGTCCACTGATTCTGAGGAGAGGCGCATGAGAGATTTTTTAGGTGCCATGGTCAGTGCTGCTTGAGTCTGCCAGAGATTATGGCTGGATTGTGCAGAATGAGATTCCCTGCCCTCCTCTGACACCCCAAGTCCCCTGTGCCCTGGCCGGTCCACAGACTGGGTGCTCACCGCCCGGTCCGCGGAGGCTGCAGCTGCCGAGAAGAGGTGTAGAGTATGGTGAGGGCACTGTTCTCCGAGATGTTGCCACATAGGTCTTTCCACATTGTTTCATCTCACCCGGAGCTAAAGTGAACTGACGGGGACTCATGTGGCCCTTCCCTCTCAGGCAGCCTCTGTGACAGGTGCCTTCAATCAGGGCGGGAGTCACTCCCAGAGCCTCTGAGGGGCGCAGGCTGCTGGTCCAAGATTGCAGAGTTGTGAATCAGGCTGCCTGTGGAGAACTGGTCTGGGGAAGAAGCTGTTCCAGGAAAGAGCAGTCCTATCTGTAGCTGAGACAGCTGTGATGGGCAACTGACCGTGCCTACCCGTATACCTGAATTTTCCACAGAACCCATTTCTTCAAATACGAAGAAACACCAAACTTCACGTACAGAGAACTTTTTACAGAAGGCAGACCTTTTTTTGTGTGCGTGATCCATCCTCGTCTAACCCATCTGGCAGAATGACTTACGAAAAGGGGTCATTTTGCCGGTGAAAAGCCTCTTTATCGTTATCAGAAGTTTGATTGGACATTGACAAAAATTTTTGCGGTTTTTAGAGCTGCTGTAGCTGTTCCTTAACACAAAATAGGATGAATCAGTAAGTAGTATGTTAGCTGTCTTTCAGGTTGGTGGCAGTCAGTTAGGACATGTATAAAATTCTCTACCTGGTCTGTAGCTGTAACTGTGATGTACAGGCAAAGCAAAAATTTAAAACTTATGAAAACAAATAATGCAATGATATTAGAATATACACTTTTGTATTTTTATTCTTATATAAGGTTATTTGCTGGCTATTGTTGGCCTCTAGTTCAGTCTGTGTTATTTAAAATCTAATATATGAATTATTTGGATTGAATTCATGTTCGGGGCCACGTTGTTGTATGTATTGATGTACAGCCTTGAATGTGAATAATTATTGTAAACTATATTTTACAACTTTTTTTCTGGCTTTATTATATAAATTTTCTATTTGGTCAATGATTTAATCATATAATTTAATGAATCTGTTTCTTCTCTTTTTTTTCAAATATTTGTGCTGTAGACGTAGTTACTGGATGATGAATTTTCCACGTATGCTCGGTAGTCTTGTAATAAAAAAGCATGTAGAGTGTAGACGCTCGCTGACGTAACTCTTCTCTGATGGGGGCGCGGGTCCGGCGCGGGCGTCACCAGAATTCCGGGCCCGGAACCCGGCGGCGGCCGCACGCCGCACGCGCGGGGCGGAGGCCGGCGAGCCCCTCGAGCCCGAGGCCCAGCTCCGGCCGGAAGGGGGCTCGGCCGGCCGCTTTTCCGGACCGGAACTTCCGCCCGCCGCGTGACACAAGGGCGGGCGCTTTACGAGGGCGGACCCATGGGCGGGACAGAGTTCGGAGGACGGTATTAAAGACTGGACGCTTCCGGTAGACGGCAGCTGTGGCGGGGCTTGCTGGGATCATGGCGGAGAATCACTGCGAGCTGCTGCCGCCGGCCCCGGGCGGCCTCGGGGCGGGGCTGGGGGCTGGCCTGTGCCGCCGCTGCAGCGCGGGGCTCGGCGCCCTGGCCCAGCGCCCCGGCAGCGTGTCCAAGTGGGTCCGGCTCAACGTCGGCGGCACCTACTTCCTCACCACCCGGCAGACGCTGTGCCGGGACCCGAAGTCCTTCCTGTACCGTTTGTGCCAGGCCGACCCCGACCTGGACTCGGACAAGGTGAGGGCCGCGCGGGCCAGCCCTGGCAGCGGCCCGCCGCACACCCCCTGCCCGCGCTGAGGAGACGCGCCTCGGGTTTCCAGCCCCGCGCGCCCCTTGTCACCCGCCCGGCCCGAGGGCACCCGACCCCCCCCCCCCCCCCGCCCTGGGCCGGGGGAGGAGAGGACGGCGCCCTGTCGCCCACCGCCCTCCGGGTTTCCCAGCCGGCCCACCTCGGGCGCCTCTCTCTCGCCTTCTCTTCGGCGGAGGTTTCCCAGACCCCGGACCGTGCCGTGGACCTACTTTCTTTCCCCCTCTGGGTTCTTTTGCCCCTGGTGTGTGAACTTCTCTTCTGTGTCTTCGTGTACTAACTGGCTCTGGAATCGAAGGACCCTGGCGTCTTCTAATCTTTTCTCATTCCAGACGCTTGACTTAACGTTGGCGTGGGGGGGCGGGGGTGGGGGTGTTGACACGGGTGACCTGCCTTTCCCGGTGACTTGCATTTAGAGAGTTGGCGCTCCCTCGTTTACGGCCACAACGTGCACCCACTCAACACTGAGAAGGTGCCGCCCGTCGAATAATTTTTCACAGAAAATGTTGCTCGTGGTAAGGGGTGGCGAGGAGGGACTAGGTAGGAATTTTTTTGTTTTCCCGTCCGCTTTTCCCCTGCTCTTCCGAAAGGATAGGAGCTTCTAGGTTTGCAGCGTGCCTTTCGTCTCCGCAAGCGTTCGTACTCCTTCCTGTGCAGACGACACAGAAGCTATACTATCACCTCTGAAAGTCTTGTGTGGCCGAGGAAGAGCTTCTCAGGAGCTGTCTGGATTGAAACTCCGAAAAGGCCCTGTTGTAAGAATAATTGTTACCTGCGTTTATCCCAGGCAGCTCACATCCTTCTAACTTTGCTGGGTCTTTTCAGTTGAGCCTGCATAATTGCACTTGGCTTTGTGCCTCGCCAGCTCAACGTTTGCCAGGCCCAAGTCTTCCCAGAAGGACTCAGATCCCTTTTCAGGTTCAAGAAGGCTGCCAGAGACCATCCTTGGTGTGGCATGACCTTACCATCAGGAAACAAGAGCTCCTGAGTTACCACCACACCACTTGTCGTTGGTAGAAATCGGGGTTGGAGTTGCTGGCAGTCTAGTCTCCCTTGTCACCACCCCCAGCGGTTTCCATTGCTTATTTGACCGAGCTCTCCACTCTCAGAGAATTGACCTCCCAGAAAATGACAGTCATCTCCAGGGTAGAAATAGCCTTTTGTTTGCTGTGATTTTCCTTTTATAGCGTGGGTGTATGTCTTACTGTGTTGTTTTTTTTGTTTGTTTTTTTTTTTAAAAACAGTGGGTCACAGTGGCCATTCACTTGCATTTCTACTCGAGAGTTCCTGTTTTGTGTATTGAATCAGATTTGAAATTGCTCTTGTCCCCTGGGTTTTTTTCTTTTTCTTTTCTTTCTTTTCTTTTCGGAGGCAAAGTCTCTCTATTCACTAATACAATTAAGACCCAATTAACGATAGCTTGCACGGTTAAGCCAACCCATCCCTTTATTTTGCTGTCTCAAGACTGCTTAAAAAATTATGCATGACTCTAATAATCGTCCTTTGGGGGAGGTAATTAATGTAGCAGCGTATATCCATGTTGCTTTCTGTCATCATCATCCACTTAACCACATCTCACTTCCAAATTGTAACACCGAAATTTAGAACATGAAGCGGCAGATTCAGATTTTGTCTCACAGAGGAGTTGTTAGTAAATAAGGGTTAGTTTTTGTCACGGATGATGGGAATTTGCCAGAAGGAGTAGTGTCAATTCACACCGGTCACGGTGGTAGAGTACCTTTACTTCAAAGAGAAGAAAATGTGTAAGATACTGGGTCCTCTCAGTTTTTCCCCTCTTGGTTCCGATGAAAGAATGCCTCCCCTATTTGCTCCCGGATGCTTAGACTCTGAGCGAGGATACAGAGGATGAGGGCGGAGGGGAAGGGTGTTTGGAGAAGTGGGATGCCAGTGATTCCATGATGAACGAGGAACAGGATGTTGATGCACGTGTCAAAGCCTCGAAGCCCTCAGCCAGTAGTTAAAACGAATGAAAACATACCTGGCAGATATCCCTAGGACTGGACGTCAGCACAGACCTGGTGGAAGATTCCAGCTGGGCGTCTGACTAGTGTTGATCGAGCTCCTGGGCTCCAGCAAGCTGGTGTGTGGCTAGGGGTTGGGTGGGGAGACTTGAAGGGCAGTTGTTCCAAGAAATGGGAGACCAGGAACCTTTCAGGAACCCATGGGTTTGGAGTTCACTGGGAGAGTGCCTGGAGGTTGGAAGCCGTGTGGGAGATGTGGACCAAGGGTGGACAGACAGGTTGTCTTCTGAAGATGTGGACAGACAGGTTGTTGGGGAGAGTGGGGGGCGGGGCTGCGACCGGTCCCCCTCCCCCCGAATCCATGTTCCCTGTCTCAGGACTGAGCCTGGGACCACCGCCCACCCTTTCGGAACTCCAGACCCTTACCCTCTTGTCTCATGTTCTGACTCTGGGCCCACTGCTGCCGTGCCGTTTTCTTTACGGACAGCCCAAGCACGAATTCTCACTTCCTCCTGGGGTTTCCTCCGGCGGGGCTGTGTCTGGGGTGTTCATTTCAGTATGTGCTCTGCTGTCCTGGGCCATCTTTCTCCCAGGCTCCTGTAAGGGGCAGGGCAGGCGTGATTCTTCTTCCCGGAAGTGCTTTGTAAATACTTGACGTGTGATTCATTTGGGTTAAGTCTCTTTGTATTCCGTGGTACCTGGCCTATTAGACATTCTTGAAAACAGGTTAGAGTTTGTTTAGAGCTGAATCAGCCCCTGTTTCAGTGTGGAGATGCTTTAGGAGTTAAAAGGGAAACAGGAAATACTGCTACTTGGTGGTTTGAAACCACTCAGATTAAGTAGGATTTGAGGTGGGTTCAGTGTCTGCTGCCGAGCCAGGCCCGCCCGGAGAAAACATGAGCTTTTGTCCTTCGACGGGGCCATTGTCCTGGCTCCGGGGTTGCAGATGCTGTGGCGTCAGATGGGTTTTGGAGGGGTGGGGCTTGTCACAGTGCTTCCGACGACATGTCACTCGCAGTTCTTTGCCTGTGCTCACTCCGGGTAGACTCGGTGTTGGCAAGAGTTTCAGACAGAGTTTCGGTTGGAAATATAGTGGAAGGGATTTTACAGACAGGGTGAAGTGACGGGGGTGTGGGTGGAGGTACGAACTCTTAAGTCGCTTGGCAAGAGCAGTGGGGATTCCTCAGAGTGGAAAGAGCAGATTATGTTCCGTGTAACCAACTCCGAGGCGAAAGGCTAACTCCCCAAATTTTTAAGACCGTCCCGGGCACTGGTGACAGCTGTGTCGTCCTGAGGCCCTGAGTGGGTGTCCTGAGACTTGGGTACGTTGCATTTCACGCTTTGGTTGAGGATGTGGCTCTGAGCGTGTTCTTAGCCCCGACCGCGTGCCGTGGCTGGTCTGGGACCCGAGCGAGAGGGGCCCCCCTTGAGCTGGGAGCAGCCTCTCCCCTCCCCCAGGGGAGGTGCTTGCTGGTGGTGCCCACATTTCCTCTTCACAGGGCACCTGATCGGATGGCCCTCGGACCTGGACCAGCCCGTGAGCCCAGGCCGGAGAGCCCTGAGAAAGGACTTGCCTTGCCAGCACCTGAGGTTGTCCCCGCTGTCAGCCTACGAAGGGCAGCCCAGGAGGAAACGCTTGGCCCTCCGGAGCGCTTCCTCTTTCTGCACATGCAGCCTGTCGTTGCTCCTGCCTAGCAGGACGGTGACGAGTTTGCTTTAAAGCAGTGGTTAAAAAACTACCCTCCATCAGGTGTCTTGCCTGATTTTGCAAATCGAGTTTTATGGGAACGCCGAGGTGCCCGTTTGCGCGTCGTCTGTGGCTGCTCTCGGCTGTGAGTGGGCGCTCGCCGCTCCCTTCCAGGACGCTCCGGGCCAACAGTGTTTAAAGTCCATTAAAGGAGCTGACTGCGCACTAGGGGACGTTTGTACATGGCCAGGGTGCTCCACCCATGCTGCAGAGCATCTCGGTATGGAGCTAGGGAGACGGAGCGTCTTCTCTGGTGGCAGAAGTAGACTGGGGACTCGGGCCTGACTTTGACTTTGGACACACCGTAACCCGCTGTGTGGCCTTGGGGTAAGCTGGTACACCTCTCTGAGCCTGAGTTGTGGAGGAGCCTTATGAGTTCAGGAGGAGGGTGTAGGTCACAGCACCTCCACCCAGCGCCTGTGCGGGCTCCTTGCAGTAGACGGAGAGCACCGGTGGCAGTCTTAACTGTTCGCCTGGTTTTCAGAAAGAACCCTTTTCCCTCCCCTTCAGAACTTGTTTTGTTACCGCTTGTTTCTTATGTATACTCTTGGAACCACCGCAAGCCTCGGCCGGCCTCCCAGGGCAGTGTGTGGGAGCCTGGCCCTCCTGCTGCCCCTGCTCCCCACCCCAGAGCTCCTGGCCGATCTTAGGACAGGCCCCAGAGGGCGGCTTCCCAGTTCCACCAGTGCCATGGGGGAGGAACACAGCTTCCTGGGCAGCTACTGAGTTTTCTTGCAAGAAATTTGAGGTCTTTGAGCCTGGAGAGCGCAGCTCCAGGGTTCAGGTACCATCCAACCCAATGAATGAAATGGGCTTGAGGCATCCAAGTGTGGGTGCGACACGAGTGTCTCTTCCCGTCGTCCACATTCCGGTGGGTTCTCGTTTCCTCAGCAGCTGGGCTTCCAGGATCTTTGCAAGTCAGGGTTGGGTGGCAGCAGTCCTGGAGCGGATGAGCTGGACCAGCTCCAGCGCATAGGCGGAGGTAGGAGTTGTGAAACAGGCAAGGGAGAGGCAGGCAGCACGGTGCACCAGGTGGTCGTCGCTTGAGGCAGCGGAGGGGCCACGGGCCTGCCCTTCGGTCCCAGCAGGAACGAAGGGCATCCTCTGACCCGGGTCTGCCAGCAGGGCCGAGTGTAGGCAGAGGGCAGAGGCCACCTTGGAGGCAGCAGGGCGGTGGCTGTCGGAGCAGCGGGCTCGGTGTGAGCCTCTGGCAAGGCGCCCTGGCTGCAGTGTGCTGCCTGCGGGCCCGGCGTAGCCGACACCCAGGGGCCTGGGGACCAGCCTGGAGGCGGCCACGCCTCCGAGTCAGTGGAGGGGGCACTGTGGTCGGGGACCCTGGGTCCTTCCTGTGTGGTGCTTCTGCCACAGGGAGTCATGGTGCCCGCCTGTTCCCGTCGCTCGTTGATTTTCTCATGCCAGCAGATTTATAGTGAACACACGCATGCCCACCACCAAAGTAAGTAACATGGCACCTGTGGAGGGTTTGCGTGCAGGTGTTCTGCAACTGGCATGTCTCTAGGGAGGGGTGCACCTGACAGCAGTGTTGTAGCAGCTGGGACCTGGACGGTTGGCCCACGGGCTGGCAGGTCCGGTCACGGGATCTTGCCCAGGACGGTCCCCTTGCCCCAGCGTGACCGGCACCCGCCTCTGCGTGCACGGTGGATGCAGCGTCTGCTCCCAGGGGGTCCCGGCCCTGCCGACCTGAACCGGTCACGGTGAAGCATCCCCATGTACTCTGGGGTCTGGCGGGACCCACGTGGGTGGGCCCTTCACACGAACGCTCGGGTTTGCTGCTTGGCGAGCTCTTGTGAGTCGTGTATGTCATCCTAAATTCCAAGTTGAATTGACATGTGGCCATCTGGGACATCCTGGGGGGAGGGCCCTGCGAGTCGAGTGCAGTTTGAGGTCTGAGGACGTTGGTGGCCATGGGCAGTGCTGAGGGTCGGAATGACCCAGGACCCTGACACTCATGCCCTGTCTCTGTCCAGAGTTCTGCGTTTCCTGTGTTCTCCTGACGTGCGCAAGGGTGTGTCAGCTCTCAGGGTACACAGGGCATCTCGGGGCTCGTGCAGGGAGCGCTAAATCAGAACCAGCTGGCACTCCTGGGCATGGGGCGGGGGTGGGGGTGGTTGTGAATTCCAGTGCCTCACACATGTGTCTGGTGCCTCCATTTCATCGTTCGTAATCGGGGACGTCTAAGGCCTCTTTGGGATCAAGACTTTGACAAACTATAGAAAACAAAACAGAAGAGGGCAGGGGTTGAAGGTTTTACGTACGAGTTTGAAATAGTCACTTAAAATGGATAACTTAAGAGTAAAACCTAAGTATTTCTAATAAGGTTCATCGCAGAGGTTTGTGCTCAGAGGAAGGATTCTGTGCTTTTGCATTTAGATTTCAACTGGGAAATTTGACAGAATTGATCTTGGTTTAGCTCAGGATACCCCGCCCTCTTCAGGTCTTGGTGGTTGTGCATTCTCTCCTGCACCCAAGTGGTGGTGACGCTGTTTCCCAGGGTGTTGATGGAGGTTGTGAAGGTGACTGAAGGTGCTCCCCAAAGAGCACTCACATGTCAACAGAATCATTCTCCATTTATTGTCGTTGATTTTTTTTTTTTTTTTTTTTTTTTTAGCGTTATGTTTGAGAGAGACAGAGTGCGAGGGGGCAGGGGCAGAGAGAGAGAGAGAGAGGGAGACACAGAATGGGAAGCAGGCTCCAGGCTCCGAGCTGTCAGCACAGAGCCCGACACGGGGCTGGAACTCACCAACCACGAGATCGTGACCGGAGCCAAAGTTGGACGCTCAACCTTCTGAGCCACCCAGGCGCTCCAAATCATTCTCCATTTAGAATCTTGTGTGAGAGCCTGACACCCCTGGCCCTCGCTCCTCATTGCCATTTTCAGGACCATGTGGTTGTGTCAATGTAGTGACCCCTGAGGGGTGAGCGGCCCCCACTTTGTCCACGGTGCTTTGCTGGGCAGCGCATTCGATCCTGCCCTGAGCCTGAGAGCCAGGTTTTGCTTCTGGGCGCAGAGTGGGCAGGGAGAACCTCAGGTTAGGGGGCTGTTTATTGGGTGGCCCGCTGTGTTTCCGGCCCCTTCGGAGCATTGATTCCTATCCAGCAATGTGAGCTAAGGGTGGCTGGTGGGCCCCGAAAGGAGTGGACGGGGTGGGCGGGGCTCCCGGGTGGTTTCAAAGCAGGATCGGCCTCCCTGCCTCCCTGCTGAGGGACTGCAGGTTGGGTGTCTCCTGGGAGAGCATGTGATGTGGGCTTGGCCCTACCTTTGGTCGCTCGCTGGCTCCTCTCCGGGAAATGACTATGAGCACGGGGCTCATGGCCAGGACCTGATGATCTCTGTGGCCCGGCAGCCTCTCCATGTGGGGCCAACGGTCTAGCAGCCTAAGCTCAGGGAGGCAGGGTTCCAGCTTCCCATGGAGACGCTGGGCTCAGCCTCGGAGGGGGGGCCCACTGGGAGTGGCACCCAGCCGACCTGCGCACCAGCGAGCCGCCTGCTCCGGGTGCGCGGCCTGAAAGCCTGAGGGGTGTTGGCGCTCAGTACCGTTCAGGAGCCAAGGCCAGCTTCCCCCGTTTTAAGCCTTTAAGGTACATGTATATTTTTAAAGCCAGCACTAAACAAGTAGGTCAGACACTAATTCACTGAGAAGTGGGGAAGGTCAACAGAGGGAAATGATTTGTCAAGAAGCAGTCTTAATTCTGGCTCTTTTATAAAAAACACAAACCTCACCACTCTACAAATGTAGCACACGCTCATTATATAAATGGAGGGCAGGACAGAAAGAGGAGACGGGGGACCCGCGAGTCTCGCCAGCAGCCGGCGTTGACGTCTTGCTCTAGTTCCCTGCTGCCTGTCGTAAGTGTGACCAGACCCGGGTCCTGCCCGCACCCGCGCCGCTCCCGCACTTGGCGTTGTGGGTGTCGCCAAGATGCTTCTCCCTGGGCTTTTGCTTAAGCAGCCTGAGACTTCTCTTCTGAATTGGGGTGTTTTGTTTTGTTCTCTCTTTCCGTGTTCTGTACTTTCCTTTATTTCTGCCACAGGATAGAGGCCCCAGGGCCGCATTCCCAGCACAAGCACATGAGGTGCTGAGGCCCCTCGCCCCTGTGTCAGCGTGCCGGCCGCAGTGTCCAGGGTCTGTCCACCTGCCCACGGCCCAACCACACTCACCAGCTCTGGAGCGTGCTGCTCACGCTCGGCTGCTCAGACGCGGGGTTTTTACAGAGGAGGTCCTGCCTGTGAGCGTGAGAGTCAGTCTGATCATCTGGGCAGTAGCCCAAGATCAAGGCCCCGGGGATTTTTGGGGTCTCGGTGTAGAGCCCCCCACACTTCCTGTGGAAATTGAAACCTCCCAATGAGCCCAGGTAAGGACCCCACGTCCTGTCGCTGCTGCCCGCCCTACTGCCCTCGGAGTCCCTCCGACGGAGTTGAACCCCCAGGAAGAAACTGGTCCGGAGAGCCCTGGTGGGACTCCGTGGGGGAAAGTGCTTAAGTGCCACTCTTCAGCGGCGGGGCCGGACAGGCTGGCCTCTCACTGGTGGGGGTGGCACGTCCAGGCGTCAGGTTACCCGGGGTCCAGCCTGCCACACAAGGTCACTTGTTCTTTAGCGTGTTGGGGTCCCGTCAGTGAACCCGCTATTCTGGGTCCAGGCGGGCTCCCCCCGAGGCAGGCTCGGGAGGAGGGCTCTGTGCTTGCCTCTGGGCCGGGCGTGCGGGAGTCCGTGTGGAGGCAGCCGAGGGGCCAGCCTGCCCACCCTTCCTGTGGGGGAAGCACAGTGTGATGCCAGTCCTCGAGCCCACAGTCTGGCCCCACTGAGGCCTGGGCCCCGTGTGATAGGGAGGCTCCCTGGGGTGCCCTGTCCCCAGCCAACCACCTGCCAGCTGTCTGTCGAGGTAGCAGCAAGCCGATGAATCATTCCTGAGCTTGGTGATGTGCACCCGTCACGTGCTGGACTCTTTTCCACCTGAAGGTGGGGGTGGGGACGAGTCCCCCTCGATTTCGTGTTGTGGCAGCACTGTCTCTTTCTTTCTAGACCTTGGGTCCTTGGGCCTTGCGTGGAGAAGAGTAGGGGTCCAGAGAGACAGGAGGCAGGGGTCCTGGGACAGTGTCTGACAGGTGCTTCTTAGATGGGGGTGGGGGCGTGGGGGTGGAGCACGAGGATGGACCCGGGAGGTCTGCGTGCAAGCGGTGACCCGTCCTGGCCGGAGTTTGGGCGGAGGGCCCGGGTCCTGCCGCTGAGCTGCAAGGCTCCGGGCCGCAGCGTCCCCACACCCGGGGTGCCGTCACTCCCCCGCAGACGGCTGTGGCTCGCTTTCACAGGCAGTACCCCCCACGCCTCTTATTCTGAGTGGGCCTCTGTGGGCTCTACTCCATGGAGGTGTCCTTCGGAACTTCCCCCGCCCCCGTGCCAGGTCGGCGTGTCTGCGGACCTGTCCGGGCTGTGGTTGAAGCTTGCCGGCAGCTGGGCAGAGGGCCCTAACCCTCACGAGGGGCCCCGGGCATCCCCCGGGAGGAGCCAGGGCCCACCTAGAGGAGGGAAGCACCTTCTGACGGTCTGTTGTGAAGGCCTCACAGACTCCGCAACTGCCGCACGGGGCGAGGCTCCTTTGTCAGTGATCCCTGGGAGGCTCTGGGACCACCTTGCAGCGGAAGCCAGGCTTGTGCGCGCAGTCACTCTTCCGCCTACCTCTGACCCCCTCCCCGAGGTGAGGAGGCCGTGGGCACTCGCCCCGGAGGAGAGTGTTGGGACAGCTTTAAGACGGGAAGAGGCAGAGCAGCTCCTCCGCTGTGTGTGTGGCGCTGCGGTTGCCTTGCCGCCTGAATACGGCGAGGTGATTCTGCTACCAACAGAGCTTCACTTGGCCCAGACCTGGAGTGGAGACAGACCGGGGTGCGAGGCTGCAGGTGGCCAGAGGTGCACGGAGCCTCAACACGGTGTGCTTGTGGCTTAAGGGGCGCGCGCAGACCCCACGCCCCTGCAACCCTGGGCGTGCCTCCTGGCCTGGGGTCATTTGTGGGGACGCTTGCTTTCTTGTGCGGGACTCAAGATGCTTTGTTCTTTGCAGGATGAAACCGGTGCCTATTTAATCGACAGAGACCCCACCTACTTTGGGCCCGTGCTAAACTACCTGAGGCACGGCAAGCTGGTCATTAACAAAGACCTCGCAGAGGAGGGTGAGTTGGGGACAGGGGCCTGGTGGGCAGGAGGACCTTAGGAAGACCTAAGACACAGACCCCTCTGAGCCTGAGCTGCCCTGTGAGGCACAGGCCCCGTGTGCTGGGCCCCGAGCACCCCCATCCCCGCAGAAATCCCGGGTGCCTGCGTCCCCTCGCTGGCTCCTGGCGGCCTCACAGATGTGCCCCGTGGGGCAGCAGGCGTGTGTCTCCGAGAGATGGGGCCGGCTCGCTGCCTCTCCCCCTGTCTTCCTCCGGAAGCGGAGACTTCGTGGCCTGCTGCAGTTGAGGGGCCGGGTCGCCCCCCCCCACCGCGGGCGGCTCCAGGGGCCTGGTTAGCGATGTGGCTGGGGCTGGGGCTCCTCCCCCCGGACGCCACTAGTTCTCACCGCTGCTTTGGCTCCGGCGGTCACAGACACGCCCGCCGTGGGAGCCCTGGGGACTCCTCGGTCTGGGTGCGCTCTCCTTCCAGGGCAGCACTGCGCCCTCGGCTCCGACTCCTGTCTGTGCTCGACGTTCCGTGCGGTCGCAGCAAGTAGAGTTGCCGGGAGCGGCCGTTCGCGCGGATAAAAATGTCACGAGGGCCCCGCGAGGTCCAGGGCGCTCTGGCTCCGGCTGTGACCGAGGTCCCGTGACGAGCGCCCACACCGGACTGGGCTGCTGCTTCCACCCTCGCCGCTTCCGGGTCATTTCTTTTCCGGGCCTCCAGACCCGGGTCGGCGTCTTCTCTTGAAGTGACCCTCGTGGACGTGCACTTGTGTCGGTGGCAGTGCCTTCCCTTTGTGCTCTGCTCGTGGAGCTCTACAATTGCAGACAAAACTTCCCTGCACGGGCTGTTTCTGAGGGGGCTGCAGACAAGCGGCTGCCGCCCGTCTGCTCCTGCGAGCACAGCACACGTAGGGTCCCTGTGCGGGAAGGGGCCGCCTGCCCTTCAGGCCGTGAAGCCCCCCACCCCCCCCACCCCCCCCACTCCCACACACAGGCCTGAGGGGCCGGCCAACAGCCTCACGTTCTAGTTGCAGCCTCCCTGAGGGCAGCCCTGAGGAAAGATGCCGCCCACCCCCTCCTCCACCCTGTCCGTGTTGCCTAGAGACCTGGTTGGGCCTGAGCGGAGTCCACGGCTCTGAGCTCCTAGTGCTGCCAGTGCAGGGATACGTCGTACAGAGTGAGGTCTGGCCGGGACAGATCTTCTGGAATGCCCGTGAGCGATCTTGAAGCCGGGCCTTCTCGGTTTGTTCCTTAGAATTTTCCTGGAGCTTGAGGGATGCCTGGGTGGCTGGGAGCCGCCCTCTCAACCAGCCACAGTCTTCCAGTTTAATGGGGAAACTGAGGTACCAACTGACTCAGCCCTGTACGAAGCCACTCGGCCGGGCCCGGGCCACACATTCAGGGCAGTAGATGGCCCACGGGCTGTGGGGGCAAGAGAGAGTGCCACCCCGGTGTGCCCAGTGCAAGGCTTGGAATAGGTGCAGGTGTGACTGGTGCACCCAGCAGCCCACCCGGAGTGACGCGTGCTAGGAGTAGGGTCAGTAAGCGCACCCTCTGCCCTTGATCCTGGGGAGCCCCGCCGAGGGCAGCAGTGTCTGCAGGAAGCCCAAGGGACCGGGCTGAGGAGCTGCCAGTGGCCGGGCCAGGTGGGCTGTGGTTCCACGGCAGGACAGGGGTGAAACATTTATTCTTGGGTCTGGTGAAAACTAGGCATTTTTCTCCATTCCAGGAGTGTTAGAGGAAGCGGAATTTTACAACATCACCTCACTAATAAAACTTGTAAAGGACAAAATTAGAGAACGAGACAGCAAAACATCCCAGGTAAGACCAGTGGCTACTCTGCCCACAGCTTCCAAGGCCTGACACATAGGCACCGCTCGCACCCCTCCCTTCTTGCCGACCAGGGGCAGCCTCTGCGCGAGGCCCCAGGATCGGTGTTGTCCTGTCTCGGTGGTCTTTCTCCACGATCATCCTAGCACCTCATTGCTTGCTCTCTAGCTGCCTCCTCTGGTGCTGCTGGCTGGCACTGTGGCCTGCACTCTGGGCACATGTGTCCAGTCCTGCCCAGCCTACCCTCAGGGAGCCCCACTCCAGGGGGAGGGGATAGACTTTGCCACAGAGGGTGTGGAGTGGGTGTGTGGACATCTTAGGGCATTGTAGGCAGGGACGCAGCAAGTGCAAATGGCCTGTGGCAGGCGTGTGCTCAGCCCACTGAGAGGGCTAGTGTGGCCAGAGGGAAAGCAAGCGGGGAGTTGGCAGTGAGTTCAGGGGTAGACGGTGGAGGTGGGGTTCCTACAGGACAGTGTAGGTTCCACAAAGACTTGGCTTTTATGGGGAGAGAAGGGCTCAGTCAGCACTCCGTGTGCCCGCCTGGTGGTGCAGATCCCCTCGTGGGACCCATACGCACTTGGCCAGTCAGCAGTGCCGGAGCCGGTCCAGCCACTCTGCCGCCCATTAGGCCAGAGTTTGAAGCGGGCTGCGTCCGGCATCTTGCGCAGAGGGAGGCGTCAAAGGGTCTGAGGCATTAGTTTGCTGTCGTGTCAGCTCCGCGCTGGCTGGCAGAGTGAGCAGCTCCTGTGGGCCGGGCGGGGTGGGGGGGGGGGTTGGACCTGGAAGTGGGAGCGCCTGCAGAGCTGCCTCAGTTGTCTAGAGGCTCCGCCCACATGAAACCCTTCCGCTCCCCCTCCCCAAGCGGGCTTTCCCACCGGGCGATGCAGGCCCCTGGCTAGAGTGCTTGGCCCTCGTCAGACTCTTGTTGAAGACCTGGCCGCTCAGAGTGGCTGGTCCTAGGCCCACGGCGTCCCCAGTCCTTCCTCCTGTGGGAGCCTCTCGGGTGCCCTGACAGTCGGGAAGGATCCGAGGAGGGGGCAGGACACAGTCACAGGCTCCCTGGTCATCTCCGGCCACTGGCCACTGCCTTCCCCTCCATCCAGCTGTATGACACAGTCTGGCCCGGCGCCTGGCCGCCTCTGTGTCCCCCTCTGCGGGGGGTGGGGGGACGCGGTAGAGGAGCCTCTCCTCACAAGGCCCGGGGCCGTGTGACCGCTGTTGCCTCAACGTCCCTGTGCTCGCCTCCGGGTCACATCCCCCGCTGTGCTCCCTCTTTCTGTTGGGACCGCCGCCTCCTGCCCGAGGAGCGGGTCCGGAAGGACAGGCTGCTGGCGGGCGAGTCCCCGAGGTACTCTCCGCACCCGAGACCGAGCCTCGGCCACGGCTCAGTGCAGGTCGCGGGTGGGTGCGTCGGCTGGTGGGCCCGGTTTTCCGAAGCCGCTTCACCGAGGGAGGAGGGAGGGCTCAGGGCTGAGCGCCCCGAGCGTCTCACGGCTTTTTTTGGCAGCGGAGCCCGAGGCTGGTCCTGCGGGGCTCCCCGGGCCTCTCTGCCGGGCCTTCCCAGCCGCCTGCACTCACACACGGTGTCCTCCTATGTCCACGTCCCGCCAAGGGTGCTCTTGGGATTTCAGGAACGTGACTCACTGTACTTTGCAGTTTAGAAATAGAAATACTTGGGGAGGCGGATGAGGAAGTGGAAAACGGCAGCTGTCTGGCTCGGTTTTGCTCTGGCGGATGCGTTCGGGGTTGCTTTGCGCCCGACAGCCTGAGCCCGAGAGCTGGAGGACGCAAGCGGCAGTCTCGCCTGGGTCCCCTGCTGGGCCGTCCCCAGAATTGGCGCACGGGGCAGGGCTGCCGGAGGGCGCGCGGCCCGACTCGTCTGCGGCTCTGGTTCCCCCAGGTGCCGGTGAAGCACGTGTACCGCGTGCTCCAGTGTCAGGAAGAGGAGCTCACGCAGATGGTGTCCACGATGTCTGACGGCTGGAAGTTCGAGCAGGTGAGCCCCCCCCTACCGCGCCCCTGCCAGGCTGGGTTGCCGCCAGCCTGCCGTGGAACCTTTAATTACAAAGGCTCCACCCGGGTCCTCGGGCTGCTGACCCTGAGGGCCAGTCAGGAGGCGTCCGTGGCCTGTGGTTCGCCGTCCCCACGTGTCCTCCGACACCTCACGGGCTGCAGCCTGCGCCCTGTCCTGATTGGACTGGTGTCTGGGTGGGGGGGGGGGGGGGCTATTCCCGGAGCCCCACCCCCACCCCGACACAGAGACCTCCATCCCCGCTCCCCTCCTCCTTTGCGGGGGGCCGTTCTCTGTGTCTCCATCTGGCGTCTCCCTGCGTGTGTGGGATTGACAGCCACAGCCTCGGTGTATGTTGGCCTGGCCCCACCCTCTCGTCCCCTCGCATCCCCTCCCCTGAGGGCCGACCAGATGGTGGCTTGGGCCCCTGTGTGCTACGGCTGGCACAGATGCCCTTCCCGGTGGGGCTGCTTTGCAGCCCCCCTGAGGATGCGGGTGTTCCTTCCTTCTTGGTGCTCCGGCTTCCGTCCCGTGTAGCCGCAGCCCCAGCGCGGCCTCGGGGCATGTCCCGGGTGCCCTCACGTTCCTGTCCCTCGGGCAGGTCTGGGCTGAGGTTGGGACTTGTGACCCCGCCTGGCCCCCAGCCCCCCGTAGCAACTGCCCCGCTCACCAGGCTCCCCTCTGGCCTCTGGAAGATTCCTCCGTCAGTAGCTTCTGTCGGGCGGGGGTTCTGGCCACAGTGCGCAGTCCTGCCCAGAGAGATGGTGGGAAATGACAGCGTCACCCGGCCTCGCCTCTGATTAAGGCCACATCTTTCCTGTGGGTCTTTAGAAACAACGGATCATATTGTAGAGCGCCCTTAAATGTCACTAGGACAGGTGCGGCGTTTGCATCGCCCCTCCAACCTGGGGCCAGCTCTCCGGCCTGGCAGCGCAGCAGGGTGAGTGGTTGGTCCCTGCGGCCACCAGGGCTGCTCTCTGTCCCTGACGATGTTGGAACTAGGCCTGCCCTGCCCCATGCTGGGGGTCCAGGTGGCTTCTGACCTCGTTAAGCTCATGCCAGAGACCTTGCAGGGACAGGAGTCCCCGCTGGCCCTGGTGTCCTCCTTCACATGCAGCCTAGACGAGGGCTGGAGAGATGGGGCTGCAGTCGCTGGACCGGGTCACCCTCCCCTGGAGCCCAGCGCACAGCTCTCCTGCACGGGCTTCTGTCTTCCTCATCATGGCCAGTCTGAGGACTCTGTCCTTAGCCCCTCTGGGTGGGTCTCTACTGCATCACACAGGCCAGCTGCCTCTCTTCCCTTTGAATCTTTGAGAAGAAATTTTTTTAATGTTTTATTTATTTTTAAGAGAGAGACAGAGCGTGAGTGGGGGAAGGGCAGAGAGGGAGACACAGAATCCGAAGCAGGCTCCAGGCTCTGAGCTGCCAGCACAGAGCCTGACGTGGGGCTGGAACCCACAGACCGAGAGACCATGACCTGAGCTGAAGTCACACACTCAGCCGACTCAGCCACCCAGGCGCCCCTCTTCCCCTTGAACCTCAACCTGCTTTGCGCACTTTGTGCCTGGAGCGTGTCCTCCCCCCGGTTCTTGCCTACAGAACTCCAGAACCGGTCATGTTCGATGAGGAATGCTCTACTCAGAAGCGGAGCGGGAAACACTGGGGGAGAAGTAGGGCGAGAGCCCCGACCCCTGAGGGGTCCTGCCACCATGCCTGGGTCACCAGTGATCGGCCATGAGGCCAGAACAAGGATCTGAGGGACGTTCAGAAGAGGCTGGCGTGCCTCGTGAGAACGTGCAGACCGTTGTCAGGGGCCACACGCCTGCAGCTCAGTCTGCACCCAGGGCCGTGTACCCCCAAGGTTCGCGGGCGGTAGGACACCTCTCCCCACGCTAGTGAGCCTAGAACAGACTTCGGGGCGGCAGGGAGCCCGTGCAGCCTGCTCCGCCCTTGTCTGGCCACGAAGGCTGTATGCTTGCCGCGTGGCCTTGCCCGCTGCCCCCGCCGTGTCCTCGTCCCCCCACAGTGCTGCTCGTAGTGCCCCTGCCTTTGAAAACCTCACCATGGTGTCAGGCTTTCTTTGGACTCCTTTTGCGTTTAAAAGCGCATGAGCCCGTGGTGGCTCTGGGCTAAGCTGGGGCGGGCGGGTCGGCCAGTCGGGGGGCACCCGCACCAGCCGAGCCTGAGGTGTGTGGAGGCCACAGCGTGCCGGCGAGCGCCCCTGAGCTGACCCTTCCGCCTGCCTTCCCTCCCCACACTACTGTGCCCCCTCCTCGGTTAACGGCCCTGGTGGGAGGGGGCCCGGTGGCCGCAGCAGGAAGAGCAGGGCGCCTGGGAGCCCATCGCGTGTGCGTGATGAGCCACACACACGGCTCTGAGCCAGCCGCCGCTGCCCCCTCGTGACCTCCCAACACAGGCTCCCTCTCCTGGGGGCCCCGCCGGAAACCTGACGGAGCCGGATGTCCCAGCAGGGATGGGCACGCGTGGCGTGTTGTGGGACGGCGTGTGTGCATGCACGTGCTGTGTGGATGTTGTGGGACTGCGTGTTCCGTGAGTTCGTTAGAAACCTCTCGTCCGAGACCTGTCCCTTAACCTCCCGAGTGCCGGCTGTCTTCAGCATGGGTGTGGGTGCCAGGCCAGGGTCTCCCTGCCGGTGGGGGAGGGGTGGGCGCTGGGCCGGGGTTCCCCTGCTGGTGGGGGAAGGGGAGGGGTGGGCCCTGCGCCAGGGTCTCCTGCTGGTGAGGGAGGGGTGGGTGCTGGTCTGGAGTCTCCCTGCTGGCGGTGGGGGGGACGGGGAGGGGCAGGTGTGTGTGCAGTGCTCCAGCCCCATCACACTGCTCTCCTCTGTCCCAGCTGGTCAGCATCGGCTCTTCCTACAACTACGGGAGCGAGGACCAGGCTGAATTCCTGTGCGTGGTCTCCAAGGAACTGCACAACTCCCCGTACGGCACGACCAGTGAGCCCAGTGAGAAGGCCAAGGTGGGTGACTGCGGGCTGGCGGGCTCCGGACACAGCCGTGGACACCGCAGCTCCCTGCCCGCGGAGGGGCTCGTGGCCACGGAGGCTGCCCTTTGCAGAGCTGAGCTCGTCTCCTCAGGGCCTTGTCGTTTCTCATGGTTCGTATCGCGCTCCCGGCCACACAGGCTGCTGGGAGGCTTGTGCGCCTCGTGCTTGTCGTTTGCGGTCCCGTAGTTCTCGCCTCGTGTCAGAAGCAGAGTTCTGGAAGGAAGGACACGTAGGCCCTGTGGGTCACAGGTGGTGGAATGAGGGGTCTCTGAACACAGGCTCCCCCTTGGGGCGAGCCCCTGTGGACTCTGTGGCCCGTGCCGTCTGCCAACACATCTTCTAACGGGCAGAGTTGCTTCTGGAAGTCTGTCTTTTAAGTGATGCCGTTGTAGGTTGTTTTCCCGAGGACTTGGGACGTCCAGGCTGGAGGGTGCCCCCCTGTCCCCGCCTCAAGTGGCACCTGCCTTAACCGCATCCATCCTGGTCTCGGGGGCCGCGTTTGGCTGGCGAAAGCAGCAGGCTACCAGGAGTGTCGCCTTGCTCGGCCCCTTGTAAACTGTCACCGGCTCCCTGACAGTCACTGGCTCTTCTGCCTGCCAAAGAGGCCAATGCGGCCAGGGTATAAATGCCTGGGCGACTGTGCTGTGGGTTTGTTTGCATGGTAGCCTCATGGCCCGGAGCCGTGGCTGGCCTTGTCCAGAGGTGGCAGGTTCTAGTGGCCTCTGCTCTGGGCTCCTTCCTGGGGTCACTGACTCCAGATGCTTCCGTTCTTGGCAAAGGCCGGTACTGGCCAAGGCTGGCACCACCTGGCGGGACTCCTGGGCCTGCATCCAGCCTGGGGGGTGGGCGGCCACGGGTGGGGGCCGGGCTGGGGCGGCACCCCTGGTGAGCACAGGAAAGGGCCGCAGCCAGGATGACTTTAAACCGGGGACTCCCCGGGCTTCCTCAGATTCGTGGCCTGGGTGGCCTCTGGCCGGATCGCCACCAGCCCAGAACTGCCCCGTGACCCTTTCAGGGGCCTCCGTGGAGGTGTGGGCCCAGGAACAGACAGCAGAGTGTCCCCCAGCATGTTAGCTTTCCCAAAGTGGCCATCTCCGTGGGGCTCGAGGCAGCTTGGTCATCACAGCATGAAGTTCTGTGTCTTCATGACGGGGTGACTGTCTGGGACGCAGGGCGTCCAGAGTGGGGGCTCCTGTCCACGGCCCGGACTCAGCACGTAGCTCGTGTGCAGGATCCAGGGCAGCCTCTGGGTCAGGGAGCGTCCCCGCGGCACTGGGCCTGGGACGAGCCTCCCGTGGAGTCTGGGGTGGAAGGTGGCCCCAGCCTCATAAGGAGGCGGAGTTCTTGTGTAAGTTGTTCATTTTTAGAAGGTTTTATTTCTGAACTTGAAACGTTTTCGTGGCCGAGCTTCACCAGGGCAGCCGCCCGAGCTCATTTCCCTCGGGCGGGGCTTCAGCTGCAGAAAGCTGCGTCTGTGCTGTGAGGAAGCTCCAGGCGTGACCCCAAATCCCTTTGCTTTTGAAAACGTGGCCCTATTTTTCTCTCCAAAAATACCTCGCTCTGAAGTGTTGCAGCCACGGTGACTTCTAAACGGGGGCAGTGGCGGGAGCTCCCCAGGAGGCGGAACCATGGTTGGGGCCTCCAGAAAGTCGTGGAAAACCACTGGGGCCGGGCTGGGGGACAGCCTGGTGGCAGCGGTGCTGCACGTCCTGAGGATGGGAGTCAGGCGGGGGCTTAGTGAGGGCAGCAGTCCACACGAGGGTGGAGACCGCAGGTTCAGGGGCTTCCCGGACCCCTCTGCCAATCTGACATTTGCTGGAAGCACTTGCGGAACTCTCCGGCGGCAGGGATGCGTGGGGACGGGGGCGGTGGCTGAGGCCAGGAGGCCTGGTGGACACGGAGCTCCCTCGTGTAGTCTGTGGACTCAGGACCCGTGGTAGCATGTGGAGCACTGCCCGCCAGCGATGCCCCCCACCTCTGTGTCCAGAGGTTTTACTGGTCTCGGTGAACTGGACGAGGTCAACTGATGATTGATCAGTGACCGATCTCCCACTTGCCTGATCACAGTCTTCAGCCACCGGGCCCACTGACCCTTCCATTGTCACGTTCTTAGACCGTCATGTCTTCTCTGGAGCCAGCAGCATAGCCCAGACCTCGATTGGGCACGGTTCAGTTCTTCACTGAAAAGAGGGAAGGAAGACTCTGGAACTTGGGGAGTGCCAGGCCCAGGGAAAATGGCCATGTGTTTGTTTTTCTCCATGGCCCGTCTGGGCCTGTGGGTTCGGGGCCCAGGACCACCCCCGACGTGGGGCAGGTCCGTGTGTGCGTCACCACATGGCACCATGGGAGCTCCTGACCCCAAGTGCCGCCGCCCTGGGTGGACGCGGCCTCTCTGGGTGGGTTTCCCCCAGCTGCCCCCCGACCCCACCCTGCACTGACGGTGCCCTCTCTTCTTCTCCCTTGCCGCATGCTGCGTGCCGAGCCAGAGCGACGACGAGGAGACGGGTCCCGATGGGGATGACTCAGATTAAGTGTAAATGTCATGGTGAGCTCTGTCACCCTTGAAACTGACCACTCACCGTAGTTTCCTTGACCCCAACCCTTCCTCCGCTGCATTTTTCCCATACCTGTAGTTGACAGAGAACCTTCCACGCTTGACGCTGACTGTAGATCTCCAGTGGAGCCAGCCTGTCTGTTTCCTTTAAGACATCTGCATGGGTAGCCCTGGAACCTGGGCTGGGGTCTCCGAGAGCCCTGTGTGTCAGGCTTGACAGGACCTCCTCGCTGTGGGGGTCAGCGGACCAAGGACATGGGCCTGCCCCTCCTGGGGACTGGCAAGCACCCAGGCCCTGGCTCCCCGCTCCTGTCACTCTGCCGTGGTTTCAGGGCCACAGAGACAGGGCTGTGCCTTAGCGGGTGGACCTCAGTCCCCATGCCAAAGCCCACAGCGCCTCTCACCCTGAACTTAACACAAGGGATGCTGAGAGAGGGGAGTCTCTGAGGACTTTCTTTCCGTTTGTCCTATGATGAGGGGCTCCGCTAATGCTCCCTCGGCCCCCAGCTGCTCCCCACGTCCCTGTGTTTCCTGGCCTCTTCCCTTGCCCAGCTCTAGAACCCAGCTGTGTTGACCACCAGCAGGGGCCACCTGCTCTGTGCCCTCATCTTGAGCACAGGAAGTCACCTAGAGAGGGCAGGTTGCTGGTGGGCGAGCCAGGTGTCATCCAAGGAGCTCCCCTGCTCCCTCCAGGGCCCCCATTCTCGGGCCAAGCCATACAGGTCGGGGCTCCTCAGCCTCTGTCTGACCCGGGAAGAGCCCGGCAAAGGCGTGCAGCCAGCCGAGCACTAAAAGGTTGGCCGTCGGGCCGTGAGAACTCTGGACTGGGGATTGCAAACTCAGAGCGGCATTTCCATCTTTAGTTATTTTCTCGATGATCGTATAAGTATACAACATCCTCGGTGTTGCCTCTCGACCCTCCCGTCTTTAAATATTTGTTATTTGGTTCTTTAAGGAAAGTTTGCAAGCCCTGGTCTGGGCCAGCGACCTGCAGTGCAAGTCTGCTGTGTATCTTCAAACTCCCCAGTAGCCACGGTGGGAAAGTCCAAAGAAAGGCAAATTTGTGCTCATACTGTCAATTCAGTACGTCCAGAACCTCAGAAATCGTGGAGATACTTAATTTCCTCCTCGAAGTCTCTGAGACCACATGCGTAGTTTGTGTTAGTGGCCCCCTGTTCGGAGCTGCCGCGCCTGGGGCTCAGCAGCCACATGGGCCGTGGGCTCCTGGATCGGCCTGGCCGGATGCCGAGCTGTGCTATGAGCCTGGCCGGGCGCTGGGGGAGCATGGGGGAGCCTGCCTGCCGGCCAGGCGCTGGCTGCACCCACCTCCTCCGGGAGGTCAGTCTTCTCTCAGCCCCTGCCCCCCGCGGTTCATCTTGCTCCTCCCCGGGGAGCTGCTCTAGGGGCCTGGGCTTGGCCCGCTGAAGCAGCGTCAGCCTGCCTGGGCCCGTCCGCCGGGGACTTGAGGGACACAGCTGGTGTCCGTGGGAGGCGGCCCAGGTAAGAACCCATGCTGGGTGGCCTGGCCTGTGACTGTCACAGGTCCTGGGAGGGGTTTTCTATCCTTGTTAGGAGGCGGTAGTTGGGCCTCACTCTGGTGGGGCAGCCCCTCCTGTGTTGTCACCTTGCTCTGGGCCACGTTGCGGTCGCATAGGCTTCCTCCTTTCCGCTGTGATCTCAGATGCTCCTCTCCTCTGCTGGGCTCCCTCAAGGTGAGCGGCAGCTCTGTGTTTCATGGGCTCCCACCGACTCTGGCTTGCCCTGCATACAGCAAAGATGCTGGGGCTGGGGCTGGGGCTGGGGCTGGGACCAGCGTCTTGGGAACAGAAGGGACCTGCAAGGGCTGAGTGGGTGTGTACGATCATCCCGGTCACCTCCTTGGGCCGTGTCCCTCAGACAGGGTCCATCTGGGCTGAGGAGGGATGTTCAATCTGGGGTGCTGTTCCCCCATCAGAGCAGAAGGTGCACCGTACAGGAAGAAAAGCGGGGTCCCGGGTGGTGGGCACAGTGGGCCGGAGAGCACGAGAGCGTGCCTCCTGGGTGTTCGGAGCCCTCAGAGACGTGCTGGGCACGGGTCCAGGGACCAGTAGGGGCATGTAAGGCACCAGGGCACAGGCTGGAGTGACCCTCAAGAATTTGTGACTCCTGAGTGATTCCGGACAAGTGACAGAGAGTGACTGGTGCCCCCGTTCCTGTGGCCACACTGCTCTGGGCAGCCACCCTGGCCTGTGAGCAGGTGGTTGGGGGCTGGTGGGGCCTCCCTGGAGACTGCATGGCCAGAGCAGCCGTGTGGACCTGGTGCCAGCAGGCTGGCCCCTCCCGCGGCACAGTCCACCTTGTGCCTGGGTCCAGGGCTCAGAAACAAGGTGTCCTCAGAGCCATATCTCACTAAACTCCGGAATTCGAGCAGAAGATGCCTCCAGGAGGCCAGCTCTCACACTGCCGACAGTGTGGGCTATCGCCGGTGCCCACCTTGGCTGGGTTGGGCCAGGCCGGGACTCAGGACGTTTCTCGTGGTTATCTGGTGTTTAGCCATACCGTACATATTGATCGAAACCACAAGGTCTGTCAGCTCTGAAGCCCCCAGCTGGGGACACAGGGTAGTCCCTTCCCCAACCTGGTCTGCGTGGGGTTCGGCGCCGCAGGTGTTTGCCAGGACTCAGGCCTGTCCCCAGGTAGCTCCAGGCCTTGAGAAGCTCCCAGCCTGGTTTGGGGGTGGGAAGCACAGATGCCAGGGCTGAGGGAGGGTGGGGGCCTTGCTCTGTCCCTGAGATGCCGAGGAGGAGTGACAGACACAGGGACGGGCATCGTGGCCGAGGAGCTTTGGGCTCTGCGGGGCTGCAGCAAGGAGGGGTTGGCACCCTTGAGGTGTCCGGTCCAGTCACAGGGAGGCCAGCACACCGTGAAGCAAAATGTCAGCCCTGCTGGGCAGCGTGCAGGGTGAACTGGTGGGTTTGGGGGTGATGGGGTAGTCCTGGGGGCTCAGGCTTCCGGGCTTTGTGATTAGTGCAGGGTTGAGGGGACACTGAGGGGACTTGGTTTGTGATGGGACACGGAAAAAGAAAGAGGAGCAGGCTGTTGGGGGACCGACGGTACCTGGTCATACACGGGTCTGCAGCCCAGGACTTAGCCAGGCTGGACACTCAGGACTTGGTGCCTGTCCCACAAGCCCTGGCACCCTCGGGGGGGAAGAGCAGGGGTGGCTCTCAGAGGACCTCTGGGCCCTTGATAAGGAGCCACTGGTGTGGGAGGTGGGGGCACATATGTCTGCCGTGGGCCAGGATGGAGAGCCGGAGGGCCCCTGGCAGAGGGCCAGAGGTGCGTGAGACGGCCCCCTCAGTGGGGTCTCCCGGCCCTTCTCTGCCCCTGACCTTCGTGCTGGCCTCTTTGGCCCCCTGGGGCCCCCCCGGGCGTGGACTGGGGCTCTTGGGCCCTGCTTATGGTGCAGGGCGCCTCTCTTTGGGGCCTCATGTCTCCCAGCTGGCCGCATGCCGAAGCCCTGTCCGGCACCTGAGTCCTTATTCTCTGTGTTTGGCGTTTTCAGATTTTGCAAGAACGGGGTTCGAGGATGTGAGAAGCATAGTGTTGACAGCTGAAGAAACATTTTATCTTTTCCCAAGATGCAACGATCTGCCATGTCGAGGAAGCTTGGCCGTGAGAAGAAACCTGCTTTTGACAATTTCTCTAGAGATCTGGGTGTGGATCCTTTTTTGCCTCTGAGGTGGGTGGTGAGAGACGGGACCAGCTGTCTAAGGCCTGGCATCCCCACTCGGAGGAGGCGTGCTGGCCAGGTGGGTGTCCCCACGGGGCCCCCGCTCGGTATCCCGCGTGCCACATGGGCCCGAGGCAGGATGCTTCCAGCCAGCCTAATCACCGAAGAGCATTTAAAGGACAGCGTTCTTGGTGCTACATAAACAGTCTATAATGGAGCCTGGGCCTTGCTGGTAGGAAGCGGCTGCAGCGCCATGGCCCGGGCTCTGGGTGCCCGCTGGCACCCGCGTGCGCACCAGGCCCTGGTCCTCGGGTCGGGGAGTCTGCTCTGCCTCCCAGGCGGGAGCGGTTGGCAGTGTCTCGCAGCCCCAGCGGCTCCTGGGAGAGGCGGCCTCCGCGTGTTCACTACTTTCCGGGCCTCGGCCGTGGGCCCGGGCCTCCTTCAGAGCCAGGCTCCCCCGGCCTGACCCTGCCTGGAACAGTCGAGGCTTCTCCATTTGTATTTTCCAGGCAAGAGAACTTTGCACCCCTTCTTCCCCAGCGTGGATGGACAACCTAGCGTTTTTACTTTTTAGAAATGCCTGAAAGTGTTGCTGCGTTTTGGACCGATCTGTTAAGTCACTCAAAGGGAGGCAGAAGTCCGTCTCGCGCGGCCCACCCTCAGGCTTGTGGGGAGCCGTTGCCCGTCAGTGCCTTTGTCTCGCCTGGGATGGAGGCCGGGGCGGGAGGCCTGTCCACCTGGCTTCCGGAGCGGAAACTCCGGGTCACGCCGAAAATTGGATGTTTACAGTGCATCACAAATCTCTCTTGCCGGCTCTCTCACTTTCTTTGTCTAACTATGCAGTTCTCTGGTGTTTCTGGGGTGTTTGAGACTTCACACGACCTGCACGGGCTCTGCCCACACGACCTGACATTGGAGCCACTAGAATCCCTATAGGAACCGCTGCTCGCCTGCTCTGAGAACAGGCCTTCCTTAGCTGGCCGTGGGGGCTGTCCACGTGCGGGGGGCCTGGCTCGGACGTGCAGCTCTCGCCTTCCTTGCTAGGATCGCTGTGCGCACTGACCGCTGCTGGGTGGGGCGGAGGCTCTGACATGCTTCGTTTCCAATGCTTCTGGAGGCTTCTCGCCTGTGCCCTCTTCTCCTTTGCCAATGACCTGATTAACCTACTTCTCCAGCACCCAGGACTTACCTCCTCCTTTTTGTAAGGTCTGTTGTATGTTGTTGACTGTTGGCTTCAACCGTTCATAGCAACCTTTCTATAGGGCACATTTAGGTCCTCGTGACCTGCCCTCCCGGTGAGCCCCAGGGAGGGGGGCAGCCCCTTAGTGGCCTACGGGTTGTACCTGTGGGGCCCTGCTGGCCACTTAGCGTCGTTTGATTTGTGACCTTGACATAATAGATAGGCTTGTTGTTTTTTAATTTAAAGATATTAAGACTTAATTCACTAAAATTTATTCTAAGGGGATATTTATACTTTTATACTTTTTTAGGTATCCGTATTTTATCAGCTTACAGCCTAAGTTTCCCCTGAAAATAGCGAATAAAGTTGTGTATTTATGAATGAGATTAACAACTGTTAGTGTCTTAAAATGTGTGGAAAAGCAGCTGCTGCAGAAACGCTGCCCTGGGCTTGTGGTGACCCGGACGCAGTCAGTGGCCAGGGCGGAGCCACCTGTGGATTGGCTGCCTGGCGAGGGCCTGGCGAGGGCCCGGCGAGGACCAAGGCACAGCAGAGCAGCACGTGCCCATCTCCCACCTCCACCAGGCCAGCCCCGGCCGCCTCCCCTACCTCTTGCTGGCATCATGCCCCCATCCCCCGGGGAGAGGAGATCATCTTCGAGTGGCATTTTTAAGGCACTGATGCCTCGCGGCGTTGAGTGTGTTCACCTGTCTCGTCTCTCACCCTGGCCAGAGGCACCAGCTGTGTGGAAATTTCTCCGCATCCAGGGGCACATCCCGCCAGCGTGCAGCCTCTCTGGCTCCCCCTGGTGGCCTCGGGCTGCCCTCCACACTTGGGGGAAATTCCCACCCCCTGTGCTGCAGCGCCGCCCCGCTGAGGTTGGGAGGGATGCCTTTGATCCCAAAATACTGGAGCATCTGGCTGCCCAAACCCCCAGCCGAGTCCGAGTGTCCATGCTGCTTCCAGGCATGCTGCTGGCCTGGGGCCAGGGGTCCCCGGGGTCCTGGGGTTTGTCTTGCCAGCCCAGGCTGGGGAATGGGACCTGCTTGCCCGGGTGGCGGGGGTGCTGAATTCTCAGGTGCTCAGTGCACAACTGGGAGCTCGTGGGGCAGGACTCCAGATTCTGCCTCTGTGAGTTTGCTTTCTGCACAGACTGAACTTGACATTTTCCAGCTCTGGGGATAACAGAGAACCTGAATGTGTCTTCAGGTCCCTCTGCCAAGGTCTTGCGTCGTCCCCATCAAAGCCTCGAGCTTGTCTCCTGTCCAGGCGAAGGACTGGAAACCGCCGATCATGAGGCTGAGGGCCCTGACGCGGTCCACTGGGCAGGCAGGCAGGAAGCTCTGCCTTGTGAGCCTGGTGCCGTAGGCACAGCACGCCCGCCGTCAGGGGTGTGGGGAGGGCAAGGGCACAGCTTTCTGGGCAGCCAGCCCTGTAGCTCCAGGAGGCCAGCGGGCCAGACAGAAGAGGGAGGTGGGTGCCTGGAGTATGCAGCTGCTGGGCCCCCAGCCAGAACCTGGGGCACCGCACGGGGGCAGGCACCACCCCTGATCGCCTTGTCATGCCTCCCTCCCCTACGCCCACCCAGCAGGTCTTTCTGGCATCTTCCGTCCTCCCCAGAGCTGGAGGCAGTGGCTGGCTGGTCCCCCACTGCCCTTTGGTCACTGGGCCCGACAGGCACAGGGCTGAGCCTGAGGTGCAGCTGTGTGTCGGTCCTGGGGAGCCTGTGCCCTCAGGCCTGCCGGGTGCCAAGGCCCCCATGTGGCTGTGAGCAGACACAGCTCAGCTCCAGCCCCGCCACCACGCACCCGGCCACACTTCTGGAGACAAACCGCACATCTGCACCAGCGTGTGGGTGCACCGCCCGTGGGGTGAGAGGGGCAGAGTCGATCTCTGGCTTTGGGGGCTTTGATTTGCACACACACCCCTTTTTCTTCCTCTCCTCCATGCGCCCCGCCTGCCCTGCCTTCTGAGCACCTGAACTCTGGGTGGACTCCTGCCCATGCACAGATGCTCCAGGGCCTGGGGCTCAGTTCGGGGTGCAGAGCCAGTCCTGTGACCTCAGGGCCGTGGCCCTTCCTGGGGCTCCCCCAGGGCGGTCATCATGCGCGCAGGGGTGTGGATCTCCATGCTGGACTGCAGCTGAGCGTTGGTTGGCCCCCTCCTCCCTGTGTTGCCTCAAGGTGGGTATTTCATTGCGGGCACCGGCCCCAGCCTGGGTAGGGGGACAGGTTCTGTGTTGGTGCCAGCCGCTCTCTGAGGTGTTCTTCCTGAACCTGCCGGGGCGCTGGTGCCACTGTCCACCCCCTGGCAGATGGCTCTGAGGCACAACTTGCGGCAACGTGACGAGTTGTGTGTGAGCTGTCCCCTGCCCGCCCAGGATGGGAGATGGTCCGTGACAACAGGCAGCTTCTCTGGATGTGACCTGCACAAATAACTCGGCTCTCCCTTTAAATCCTCATCTCCGCCAGTGTTTTCTCTTCCACTCTTTTTGAATGTCTGCCCCCGGGGCTGGGTGGCCCGGAGTGTGGGGAGTCCAGAGGGTGGGGACTGTGCCCTAGGGTCACATGCTAGCCACTGTCCCACCCAGGAACCCCCAGGCTCGCCCTCCCAGCCCAACTGGGTGGGGTGTCACGGGGGTGGCTAGGCCATCCTGGCGTCTGTGGCCCTCCTCCCTGTTAGCCCCAGAGGATCCTGACCAGACCCCGCCCTGTCGCAGAGGCAGGAGAGTGAAGAGGTCCCCGGGCCCCAGAAAGCTGGAACAGCTTGCTAGAGGAGGCAGAGGTGAGGTGGCCCGTCCTACTTGGAAGGGAGCTGGTCGTTGCCTGTCTGCACACTCCCTTCCATCCCGGCCTCTCAGCACAGAGACAGCACAGGGGCCTCCAGTTAACTGGCCTCCAGGGACCAGTTAACTTTGAAGCAGCAACCCCACCTCCACTCCGCACGGGGCGTGAGGCTTCCACCCCCAGAGTGGGGTGGTGGGTTCACCCAGGCCTGTCTCCCAGGCTGCAGGGCGCAGGCCAGCCCCTGCCCCCAGCCAGGACGACCCAGACCTTGTCCCTAGGGCCACCCTCAGGACACCTACAGCCTAGTTCCTGTCGCCCCAACCCTGCTGGGACCTCAGTGCACCTGCTGCTCCTCCCCGAGGGATGTGTAGCCCATCTGCTCTGGAGAAGGAGCTCGCAAATGCCCTGGTCCCTAGAGGGCCGCTGAGCAGCCAGCAGGGAGGTGGGGGCTGTGTGAGCCCTGCCGGGGCCTCTCCTCATCCTTCCTGCTGCTCGGCAGGGACGCGCCCAGACAAAGTGGAGCACGGAGGGGGATTGGTATTTGTTCCCACTCTGTCCCCAGGGCCGGTCCCCAGCAGGTGCTTGCTAAGTGGTTATTGATTCATTCCATAAATACCCAGGTCTGCTTTCTTCCCGGCACCAGGCCCAGGCAAGCCGTCCCAGTGTGTGCGCCAGCAAGCGTGTGTGCATGCACGTGCTTGGGTGTGCACACTGGTATGTCTGCAGGGGGTTGTGTGCGCATCTGCATGAGTGTGCACGTGTGTGCGCAGGGCAGCAGGACACCTGGCCCTGCCTTCCTAGGAGTCCCGTTCAGCCGATGGCCGCCGAGCTCACAGGCAAGTGCAGGTACCTTTCAGGAATCGGCCCACGTGAGGGAGCTGACCATCTGGCTACCAGGGGGCCCTGCTGTGGACGCACCTGGGCCGGGCTGCTAACTTGAGGCTGTCTCCCCAGGGCAGCCTGGGACGGGCCTGAGCAGGGCCGGAGCTGGCTGGGGACCCAAGCTCTGGAGACCTTTTGTGCTGGATTCCTGGTGGTGATAGGCCACAAGAGGGCAGCCAGGAAGGAGGGGTGGGCTGCAGAGTCCTGGGGGCTGGTGAGGGGTTCTGGCTCACTTCTGAGCTCCCAGGGGTCGTGCACAAAAGCACTGACGACCCCAGCTAGTGTGGCCTGAACCCTGGGTCCTGTAGGAGGAAGGAAGTGGGGATGGGCCTGGGCTTGGGCAGGAGGGCCTGTCCTGCTGATGTCCCTGCCCTGGAATGGCCAGGCCTCCTGTGTGATACCTGGCACAGCTCTGACTGCCCTTGCAGTGTGTGGACTTGGGGTGATTCAGACAGGCAGTGGGGAGGCCGTGATCTCCCAAGGCCCACCTAGCCTACCTCCTTTAGGACCCTCCACTGGGCTCCATTTTTCCTGCTGGTATCTGTTGCTGCCCCCAGGGGCGCCCCTCAGTGATTCTCTTGGCGAGGACCATGTTGGTAAAGACGCTGAGGCAGTGGTGGGAGCAGGGGAGCTGCCTGGGAGGGGGTCCAGGGACAGGTGTCCAGTGTGCCTCAACCCATCTCCCTCCCCTGAGGGACCAAAGGGCAGCCGGCACTGAGGTTGGGTTTTGTTTTTATTGGAGGATGAACATAAATAAAAAATAACTGGGTATTTGACAGGAAAGAACGGGAGGGCTATTTACAAATGTACACCATGGGCCCCAGGGCTCAGAGGAGGGTGAGCAGGGCCACAAGGGCCAAGAGGGCCACATGGGCCGCCAGGCAGGGCACAGAGTTCAGAGCGAGGGGCTGCTGGTCCCGGGGCCCCCGCTTCTGGCCACCCGACCTAGCCTGTTGGAACTGTAATTCTGGAATGATCCGATGGATCCAGTCGTAGTGGGAGGTGACCCGGATGTAGACACCTGGGCGGTTCCGGCGGGCGCAGCCCTCGCCCCAACTGATCACCCCAGCCTGCAGCCATGACTGGGCCACCAGGCACACGAGCGGGCCGCCCGAGTCGCCCTGTGAGGGAAGCAGGGGCCTTGTCAGAGCCTACAGTGGCCCCCAGAGCCTGCCTCTGCAGGTGCACACACACTCCTCCCTTCGTCCCTCTCCTCAGCTCCTGTAGGAGTGTCCCTGCCCAGCACCCCCACCGCTGCTACCCGCCGGTCGGTCCTTCCCTTCCCTTTATAGCCTGAGGTGCCCATTTCTCTAGCACCCCCAGACTGCCCTGCTTTAACCTTGGAGGGGCTTGTTGAAAGTGCAGGTTCCTGGGCCCCACTGCAGACCAGTATGCCGACTGTGCTGGGTGGGGTCCGGGAGTAGGACCCCACTGCTGGGATGCAGGAGAGGAGGACCCCCCCCCCCCCCGCCGCCTGCAGGACCCCACTGCAGGGGATGCCAAGCTCTGGTCTGGGCCGTGGCCCCACCTACTGGGGGCCTCCTCCTCCCAGCCAGGCCGGCTCCCAGCTGAACATGGGCCTAGGGAGCAGGGCTCAGCCCCGGCAGGGCCCACCGCAGCCCCTACCTTGCAGGCGTCCCTCTTGCCCTCGGCAAAGCCAGCACACAACATGTCGTCCTTGATGGTTTTGGGCTGGAAGCCCGACTCGGCATCTTTG